CTTCGAGGTAAGCGTCGAGTACTTCCATTTCTTTCTGGTTGAGTCCGTAGATTGCTTCTAGCTTTGGCTCCTTCCCTTCCTTAAGGGGTATCTCGTGGTCGTAGTTGCTATGTTCCGGGAGTCCGGTCTCGAGTTCTTCGGCGAATAGCTTCTGGTATTGCCGGTATTCTTCTGGGATAGACAGAAGTCGGTCTTCCTTGCCGATGTCTGTTGCTGATAACGTCCTGGCGTTTGCATCCTTTATCCGTAGGTATGCTAGAAATCTCTTCGCTTCAGGAGTCTTGAGAGGTTCGTTTAAGGCACCGTTCCGTGGTTGCTTCTCAGTGACTGAATCCTGGTCCCAATGGAGTTAGCCTGTTCTCCAATCTATCCGTAGGTTACTATCGTATAACCATGGTCTTCTAAGGATGATATCGTACTTGTCTCCTATCTCCGTAATATCGAAGTTGAGTCGCTCATTCTGGCCATGGATCTGCATTAGGAGTTGCGCTGTCTCCATAACAATGCGTCCTCCGCCGTACTAGACTTGTTCTCCTTCAACGGTGCTGAGTTCGTAGCAGTCTTCGGCTGCTTTTCTTTTCCAGGTTATCTTTCTTTCATTCACCGTTCTTGGTGATATGAAGTTTCCTTGGGCTCCGCTGTCGATCATGGCGGTAGCTGTTCTTCCGTTGAGCTGTATTTGGACTTGTACATGCTCGTGTCGTTGTGTCGTGGGCGTCGTTGCGCTACATAGGGACCTTGTCTAGACTGCCTGTCGTTGTCCCTTGTCTTCGGTAGGCAAGTCTAGTTTTTTGACTACTCGTCCGTTCCTTGTTCGTCGTTTTCTTGCTGTTTCTTCCATGCTTCGTCTTTCTTGATATAGTGGACTCGGCGCTGGTCTTGGTAGCAGTGATACCACTGTATTTCTTCGTCAGAGTCCTCTCCAGAGCTGGTGTCGTCGACTGAAGCGACTTCAAAGGCGACTTCCAGTTGGGCATGTTGGCAGGCAACATCGCGAGGTGTTTCCGAGTCGTTGGGGGTGTTCTTGGTCGTTTCTGATTCGACCTGTTCTTCCAGTTCTTGGTTGATCTGGCGGATCCGTGCAGGATCTCCTTGTGCATGTTGTCGTCGTTCGATGTGTGCGTCCAGCGCACCGAGTTGTCGTTGCTACATAGGGTTTTGTGAGTCCTGTTGAATCCGCTGCAGGTTGGCTTGTCGTCCTGCGTAGAGGAGGTTCAGTCTTCGCTGATTGTCTTGTTCTAATTCCTCGTTGTCGTTCATACTATCGAGCTGTTCGATTGTCTTGCGCTCGATTTTGCTGTTGCTTCTATATCCCACAGCGAGGGTCCGTTTAGGTACGTTGGTAGTGTCGTAACCAGATCGTTCTTGAGGTTTCTGGGGGTACCATCCTGCGTGTTCCTTACTGCTAGAGTAGATATAGCAGTTGTCATCGAAGCAGGTAGTCCAGTTGAGTTGTTTATGAGGGATCGTCTTCGTGGCGATACTCGCTTGTCGTTTCTCTAGTACCGGTTGGAAGCGTTCCTTCTTAGGTGACCTGCATTCGTATGCTAGGTATCCAATCTTCTAGCAGTTATAGCACTGTCTATCTTTCTTCTAACTATCGTTCTTTTTGTCGTTTCTCTGTATAGCACTAAGGTCCATTAGTCTACTATAGTAACCATAGGCAGTACTTTGTCGGGGGTTGTTCTAGTTGTTGCGGGGTCTATTGTCGTTTCGCTGGTTGTTGAACTGGTGCTAAGGCTGCCACTGGTACTTGCGTCCTGAGTTAGGGTTTTGTCGTTTTTCGCCTCTTTCCTTTCGTCGTTCGAAAAGCCGGTTGTCGATTTTGATAGCGAGTTCGGCGTACTAGAGAAAGTCGTCAGGTCGATCAATCTTGATGATCTCGTCCTTGACTTCGTCTTTTAGTCCTTGATAGAACATGAAGATCTTGGTTTCCTCGGTGAGGTCGAGTTAAACGCTAAGTTGTCGGAAATTAGCGGAGTAGTCTTTGGCAGACTTAGTCTGCTTAAGTTATGCTAGATCTCGTTCGGCTTGTCGCTTTTCGTCGGGGTCTTGGAAGAGTGACCTGAGCGCGTCCTCGAATCCTTTAAAATTGGCGTAGATGTCGCGGGTCTCGGTAGTACACTCGTCGAGGGTCTCGTATTTTAGGTACTCTTCCTGGATTGGTTTAAACTACTTGAGGGCCTTTCCTCGGAGGTAGGTGGCTGCATGTACTACTTTTTCGGTCTTGTTGGTGAAATCTCTGTGGTGAAAGTTCTAGTAGTTTTTGACCTGAATCAGGAATCCTTTGAGGGTCCCGGGGGTTCCGTCGTAGGTGACAGGCGCACTGAGCTTGAGCTTTTGTCGTCCTCCGTGGACGGGCGTGGTGACGATGTTGGCGGCGGCCCGGAGGGTGGTGATTTCCCCCTGGAGTTCCTGGATCTTCCGGAGGTTGGCGTCCCCCTTGATGTCTTCTTCCAGCTTCTTGTAGGCCTGTCCAGCGTGCTGGAGTTGCTCGTTAAGGTTTTCCATTGCTTGTCGGTTTTCGTTGACGATTTTCTGCATGTCTTTTGTCTCGGCTTCTTGTTTCTGGATTATGCGTCGGAGCTTATCGTAGCTTTCCTTGGTGAAAGAGCCATCTCCATCGGAGTCGTACTTGAGGTCCGGCATGTCGAAGTCCTCAGTGTTGGCAGGCTCCTGCGCGAGGCTCTGAGGCTGGTTGCGCGAAGAGGATGAGGATCCTGGAGTAGGTGATTTGGCAGAAGCGCGAGAAGACATCTTGTCTATACTGTTTAGTAGTTCTCAAAAGGTGACTTACTGAACAGGAGCAATCAAAGTGTTACGGCCAGCTAACTGACAGTGGGTTTGTGTTAACAGTAAGCCAGGGATTGACAACAGTAACAGTCGTTCTGGGGTCTGGTCGATTAAATCGTAGATCTTCAAAGGTCTTGGTGATCAGTCAAGGCCTCAACAAGAGTCGTAGAGTAGTCGTCACTTAGGTATAGCTGAAAGTACCGGTTAGGGTAATCACAAAGTTGATTGCTGAAGAGCTATGGAAGTCTAACCTTAAGCCAGGCTCAGGTCATACTATATACAAGTCCTGAATAGTGTTTTTTGTCTACCTGGGGGTGATCACCTAGGTGCATGAGGTGATCGCGATCAGTTGGCAATGCCAACTGATCACTAAGCGTCCCGTCCTATGCTCCACTGATCGTTTCCTTATCTTATCGTCACGTGACTTGTACCATAGTTCTTCCGTGCCGAGTGAGTTCCCGCTGTTCCCGTGATCCTGTAGTACAAATGGAAAAACATCAACAACAGCGAGAACGAAATTTTTGAAAATCGGAGCAAAAACGGCCCCAAATACGCGTGCTCGCGGCCACAGAGCCCCCTTCGATGCAATGCCATCCTCGGCCTTGATTCTACGTCCCAAAGGGGCCCAAGATGGCCGCAGAGCACGCCCCGACTACAATGAAAAACTTGAGAGCAAGCCGCAAAATACGACATATCAATAGACAACACTGTTACCACCACCACAGGCGAGCCACAAGCCGCTACACGAAGCACTAAGACTGCGCCCAAACAATCAACTTCAACACAACAGCCGCCGACAGGTTTTGGGTCACCTGTCACCCCCGACAAAGTTTGCAACGTCCCACAACGACGAAGATGAGTCCGACAGAACAGTATCACCTTCCGCACGGAGAAAGCACCAGGCATTAGGCATGCTACGATCGATGCCACACAATACTACAGACCACAGACAGACTGGTCCCCTGTCGCCCCTTTTGCGAAGAAGGATTGGTGTCCCTTCAACGCGCGACAATGTCTGCGGAATCTGTGCGGGAGCTCTCATACCCAGTAATCGAACATGTCGGAGTCAGTGGAGCATTGTGCTTCGTGGAAGACCCTTGGGCCAATGTGGTGGAGGGCAATAGTGGTCAACAGGCAAGAAACAAGAGGCCACATAGGAACCCGGCAGGAGGCAACAAAGAATTTACAGATGCAACTGAGAAAACGGCACATACAAGTCCGGGAGGATACGGACAAAACAAAGAGACAAAGCTGAGCGCTGGGGGGAGACTGTAGGTACAAAGAACCAGATACGGTGCTACCAGCACCAACTGAACCGAAGCAGGAGGACGCAAAACAAGCATTCTAGAGAGCAACACAAAAGCGAGAAAGCAGACAGGAGAGCAACACACTTCTTCAACAGAGGGCACAAACACACAGAATAGAGAACATAGTGGGGAGCTTGGGGATAGCTGGCCCTGATGCAACATCAGGGCGAAGTGGGGCGTCGCTGTTCATTGTCGACGCTTCGGCTACCTGCCAAACCCCGCTTTCCGGGCATAGCTGCTGGCATAAGAGCGGCTTCATAACCGAGTAGGAATAAATCAATCAATCAATCATGTAGTACAAATGTCCTGTCCTAGCCGCCCGACGCCCAAGTGGGTCGTTCGGCTGTTATCCTTGTTTACGGGTCGTAACACACAAGTCGATAAGATGTATATTCTGTTACCTCTCTACGATTAAATGATCACATAATCAGTTTCAAAGTCTATAAGATGTGAATTCTATTGCTTCTTCACGATTAAGTGATCACATAATCAGTTTTAGTTATTTGAATAATGCGACACCAATTAGCTTCAAACGCTTTAAAAGTAAAAGTTCTAAAACAAAGGTAAATGCGGTACCTTTTCATTTTCAAAGGAAGTAACTTAAAAATACAGACAGAGTATGAGAACAGGAACATATCTAGACTTTTAGGCTATAATGGTATCCCGGCTTTACCTAGGAATTAGTAGCGGAGAAGCCAACGGCGCCAAGAATATTTACTTAACATGCGTCTAATTCTGTCATCAGTATTTCCTATCGTTTAGTAAATAGGCTGTCTTTACACAAACATGGATATTAAACATAAATAGCTGCAAATTTCCTACCTAACAAAATTGTCTTGTTGTGCTAAGAATTTTACTAACTATCTTCATTTTCCCAAGGAGTCAAAAGTTCATTCAATCATGGCCTCTACCACATCCTCCAAAGATATCAGACAGTCAATCAAGGCTACAACCGAGGCCTTTTTAGCATCATTCGAAGACAGCGCAACCCAGGGCGATGCTGCCATTATCAATCGCAACGTCACACCGGACTGTACCCGTAGTATACTTCCTTTAGCCGTGTCTGAGGTTTTTGGTCTACCAGCAGGCTTCAGCATCGACAATGCGACATTCCAAGAGATCTTTGCACAGCATATCAAAGCCCTCAAGTTCCGCAATGGCGTCATGTCAAACTTGGTCATCGACACTGAGGCCCGCTGCGCTGCGTTTACGGCTTACCATGATGTTGTCGTAGCCAAAAGCGAGGAGTCGTATTTCTATGAGTGCAGTTTTACCTTGTACTTCAATGAGAATGGGTCTAAGATTAGGAAGGTAGTCGAGTTTCTAGATAAGGATGGAACTGTGAGAATGGCAAATGATTCCAAGTAAGATCTTCCGTGTGTATGATTACAGCGCATCCGAGATAGTCTACTGTTAGTACATTAAAAATCTTATTTCGTGGCTTAGCTATCCAGCCTCTATCCAGTTCTGCTAACCATATAATTGACCCGAGCAAGGCTTATACGGTTGATAAGGCTGAAGAGCAGTTATATAAACTAAGGGGGTTACTGCTGATGAGGGCGAGGATAAAGATGTGAATTGTCAGACCCCGTCTACAGGGTTGCAGTGGCAGCCGCGCACCAGCCTCCGGCACGTATAAAAACAGAGGTACTACCACGTTGAGCTAAACGCCCAAAAGGGTACGTAAGAAAAAGTTTCCTACTTGTTTCTTTGGCTGTACTTAAGTAGGGATGATGCGTAGACACAGCTTACGCCACATCAACCGTGGCATCCGCTTGCTGCTATCCAACTTACCGTTTTCTAAACACACCCTCTAATATCGGTACTATTTCAAGTGGATCGACCTTGACTTCCGTTAGTGCACTTAGCGACCCCCTCTCAAAAAGAAGAAGATCGGGAAAAACTGCAATATGGTGGACTGCGTAGACGAAAATAAATACAGTACTTATGTCCTAGTCCTGGGGTTACCACATGAAGCTCCGTTAAGTTGTAGAAACGAAAATGTAGACTCCCTCTTATTATTAGCAGCGTACCATAGCGGCGTTCGACCAAAGCTGTCTTCGACATTGATGGACCCCCCATTTTTATGTAAAAAGGCTACCACGCCTGTATGTCCTTTGGCTGCAGCAAGCAACAATGCAGTTCGGCCATGTTCTTCTTTGGCATCAACGGATCCCCCGTTGTCACAAATGACTTCAACAATACCTTCGAAACCATTTGCAGCCGCAAACATTAACGGCGTACGGCCGTAATCGTCTGTGATATTTACAGACGCCTCCAGCTCACAGAGAGCTTGAACTACAGCCTTGTGGCCATTGGTTGCAGCAAGAAATAGTGGTGTCTGGGAATATAAATCTTGTGTATTAATTGTCGCCTCATACTGGCAGAGGGTGTGGACCACATTGTGGTGGCCGTTGGCGGCGGCAAACGATAGCGGTGTTTGATTTTTTGAGTCTTTTGAATTGACGTCAGCGCCGTGTTCTAGAAGACGTCGCACAATCGGGTCGAATCCATTTCCAGATGCCAATGACAATGGACTTCTATGTCCAGGATGAGACTCGAGATTTGCTCCCAACTCGAGCAACATTCGTACAAAATCCTCATGGCCATTCTCAGCAGCAAATGATAATGGTGTGGAATGCTTGGAATTTTCCAAGTTTATATATGTAGATTTGTCAATGCAAATGTTGAGTGACTGCAGACTGCTTGCCTGACTGGCTCTTCGTGTTGATGCTTTTGAGCCTTGTTGATAAGCCTCATCTACCTTGTGAAGCAGCAATGTAGCAGTAGCCACGTCACCGACAAGAGCCGCAGAATGAAGTGCTGTGCGTCCAAATGAGCCTTTCGTAGTCCAGTCAAACGTTTTGGAATTAATTAGAATGCCCGCAATAGCAGCGTGCTTTTCTTCGATCGCCCAATGAAGAAGTCCTTCTCCTTTTCGATAGGAACTTAGATTTATCCTGCTCAATATTTCATCCAAATCATATTCAGACTCGTGGTCAGACTGCCCAAGGATTAACTTGGCTGAACTGTTATGCTCATTAGCCAAGGCAGCAAAGAGCGCGAATTCATGTTGTCCGCCCCTAACGTGGGTATGAGGATGATGCTGCAAGTGTAACTCCAGTAGTTTGTTAAGACCCCTTTCCGCGAGGAGGTATGTAATGTCTAAGTTGGGTGGGTAGTGTAGGATTTTGCGGTCCTCAAACAGGTTAGTAAGGTAAATCCAGTCCTGAAGTGGAAATTGCTCTAGAAAGGGTTGTTGAGAAGTGATTTCTGCAGCGAAGTCGGCATGATGGAGTACATTTCGGATGGCGTATCGAATAAATGGAAAACGTTCTGAAGTGTTTTGCTGGAGCAGTTTCGCTTCCTCCGAATTGACTTCAGGAAGGACTCTGGAAGTGTGCAGTTCGCTTGAAATTGCGAACTGGATATATGATAGACAGCATTGCTTGAGCGTGTCGTGGCTCTGATTACCAAAACCCTGACCCAAGTGAGGCCAAAGCTCTTGTAGTCCTTTGTCTTTGACAAGGAAATCCCGTACAGACTCATGGATAAATTGAACGGTTCCATCGTCTGACTTGGTGATCTCTGCTAATCCTTTTGACGAGCTGACGACACACAAGTCTAGGTCCTCGACAGTAATCTTATCGGAATCGTATATTACAAGGTCCTCCTTTGGTCCAGAGAGCATTGCGAAGTAAAACTCTGTTGGTAGCAACGGTCGCTTTGCGTAGAGAATACACTGAATGCAGAGTAAAAGATCGTCCATGTTCTCTTTATCGCGCCTTAGGATATCCTTGAACAGTTCGCCTAATTGGCCGGGAATCTCCCCCAGTTTCTTTTTTGCTGCAGAGATGCGGCCTCGTCGATATTCCTTGTTAAGGATATCAACTACCAAGACAACCCACATAAAGACGCCGTTAGCCTTTTCTAGGACTCCGATCTTGATCTCCTCGGCATCTGAACGTTGGCCGACTTGCAGTCGGTCTCTGACGTATTTCTCCAAGTCTTTTCCATGGCCAATTTGGTACTCCAGAGTGAGCTTCAAGCCGTGTTTGATGTCTAGATGCGGATAATGACGGCTAGAGAAGCAGATTTGCAGACGCACCCCGATTGTTGTAGCGTCTTCTGCAAGGCCTTCTAAGTACTCCACCATTTCCCGCACCTGTTCTTCATCGCATTCGTCAAGAGCGTCAACAAAACAGATTAGACGACGCTGATCCAGGCACATTACAGCATTTTCGAACAACTTCCGAAGAACCTCGACAGTAGGACACACTGCCAGCTTTAGTGGAACAAGATTGGTGTCGTCAAAAACCGACTGTAAATCTGGGAAGTGCTCCAGAAGTTGAAACAACAAGGATCGATATAATCCCTCTGTCGACTTTTCTAACTCATCTCCCCTAGCATTGAAGAAGAACGACGTATGTGCGGTGGATGTGTCTGGGCTTTTGCTGATGTTCCCAAAGGCGAATTTCATCAAAGTCGACTTTCCAGCACCCGGTTTCCCGCTAATCCACAGAAAGCCATGGTGATAGGACGCCTTGGCAGGATCGAGCCAATCCTTATAAAAAGGATGTTCTAGAATCCATTCGCAAGTTTTTCTTTGCGCCGATTTGATTGTTGCATGACGGGAATCAATGTAGTGGAATCGTATTAATTTCATCAGTTCGGTTCGACGAATTTGCCGCATCCTTTCGTCTGTAAATCATGTAAGCTACGCCCGATCTTTCGAGATTGAACTTACCGTTTTTAGCAGTTGGTACTTGTGTTCTTTGTGTCCGCCTGCTCTGAACGGTCACTTCAGACTCTATTATCGGGTTTGGTGTAAAAATAGATAACAGTTCTTTGACGAAAGCTGCTGCTGTTGCCGCTGCATATGGTTGCCATTGCTTGTTCTTATGGGAATCTGCATAATCACAGATTCCCCGGATCACAAGACAAGGGAAGACATCCATCAGACCAGCTGCTTCCATCTCAAAACATATGATATCAAGTTCCTCAGCCAATCTGTCCCGGTCCCTGCCACTTTTCACAACCTGATTTCCAGACGCAATGCCGCCGTAATGAACCTTGGGATCGTGATTAGGGCGCGCGGGCCGGTTATGTAACTTGGAATAATCGCACTGGCTGCAGTCCGACTGCTGATTATGTTCGTATGTGGACCAAAACAGCCTATCATCGAGCAAGCTTGGGAAAGCGCATTTTGCCAGTTGGGGATAACGCCCAACCATGGCGTTGAGGATAGAAGGCACGTTGCTAACTGTCCTTTCGTGACGAGCCTGAAGCTGAGCAATGGCTTTCAGAAGAAGAGGAGGTGGCACTCTAAGCGTGCCTGTTCGTTGGATCCGACCACCAGAGACGATTTTCCCCATGTCGTACTGTATCACTTTAGTGCCGACCACAATATCACCGAGGCGAATATCCAAGTCACCTGGCACGCCACCGCCAATACCAACCATTAGTCGAATACGAATGGATGGGAAGCTTCGGTGCATGTTACTGGCTACAATTGCCGCATTGTTGGTGCCATATTGGCCGAATGGAAGGCATGCCATAACTATGTTATGTTTGCCTATACTCCCAAGAGTGTATACGTTATCGTCGTTATCTTTTGTTGGCAGGCTTTCGTGGACCTGATCTAGCATGGCCTCACTCACAGCCAGCTCAATAGGCAGGGCGCATATCCACCCTACAGTGTATTCAACATGCTGCAGTCTAGCTGGAGATCCCTTCTGCTCTTGATTTCGAACGATGTCTTCATCCTCCTGCCATATTCTCCTTCGTTTCGGTTCGTTGGATCTTGAGTCATAGTCGCTCAGCTCACCGTGATCGCTCCTGTTGCGGTAAGCCTCAGGCCCGTCGTGCCCGCTCGCCATTCCAATTCGTGAGGGCTGTGGTCAGTAGTGGCACATCGGTCGAGACATAATAGCCGAAACGAAGTCGATGGTAGGTAGAAGCCTCGGGCGATGGGTTGGGAGCATCTCGATTGTTGACCGCCGCAGCTACTCGTTCGCTATTCATTGACTAGAGACAAGATAGCGACCTGCCAGACCAGAGTTCTTCTCGCAAGGCTGTGATCCCCAACAATGAACTTGAAGACTACAAGCATAGCCACGGCTAAGTTTAGTCATCAATCCTATCTTAGCCACAAATGCATGCTGTGCCGTCAACATGCATACTGGACACTGATACGTACTCCTTACTTTATGTGATCGGTCAGCAATTACAAATCGCACCATCAAATAGGTAATGAGATGTAGCTGAATTTGAGTAGGAGTCTTCATTATTATAATCCTGATTCATGAAACCTACTTCTGACTTGCTATTTAGTCAAACAAGAGGGTTTCTGAGGCAGAACTTGCGCTGGCTGGCAGTCTGTCGTAAGGATGCCTGACGAAAGTGTACTAGCGGTGTGGCTGGGCCTAGTCTGAAAGAGTCATCACCGGGTTGCAGCTCACTGGTTGTAACCCTTCCTTGTCAGTAAAGATTCATATTAGTACTAGTGGGACTCGGCTAATCTTTTTATCTACCTAACCCTGGCGCTTTACCTCAGGTGGCTAGTGGATGTGAATCCCCTCAGACTGGCAACAATCCCTCGTTACCACAATAAGCCCGAGCCTCTGGTACCCGGTGATGAAACCGAGCTGCTAATACTGATTGATTTGTTCACTTCTTTACATCTTTATAGGTCTTTCTTACTCTTAATCTGCGGGGCATTGCGTCCCGAGCCCAGTGCTGAACGATGGATGGAGGCCCTGTTGTCCGCAAACAGACCCCGGGCATCCAATGTAGAAAGAAAGTCAAAACCGGTTGTGTGACTTGCAGGTTAGTATCCGAACGATTTCTCCCAATGGTACATCTCAGAATTGAGGCTTTACACAAGAGTTCAAACGCTGAAAATTGCCCATACTAACTGGACAATAGAATAAGAAGGGTTAAATGCGATGAGTCCAAGCCCTTCTGCCAGAAATGTGTTGACACTGGTCGCACTTGCGACGGCTACGAGTCACCCTTTCGACTCGTTTCTACCAACACAGCCCCTAACAACACTCGCGCTGGCGGTCGTAAATCAGTTGCCACTCGTTTTCAACCCATTCAGTCTGTCCTTGAGTTGACTGAGATTGAGATTACCCCTCAGGACATTGACCTCCTGGCTCGTTACTTCTCAACCAAAACCATGTTCGACGTAAAGTTGGGATGTAATGAGGAAGCGAGACAAATCCTTCAAGCCAGTTTGACCGACGCGCCAATCCGACATGCAGTGTCGTCTCTCAAAACTCTTAGAGAACACCTCGAGGCATCTACAAATATTGTTTCGCCAGTCGTGCGGCGGACCCCGAACCACAGTTACGACTACGGTCTCCAACAATACTGCGTGGCCTTAGGCGGTCTTGCTTCCAGGCTGTCTTCTCTTGGATCTGGTGGATTGAGGTCGGCGTTGCTTTGCTGTCAGACCTTCATCAGCATCGAGCAGGTGAGGGGAAACTTTGCTGCAATGGCCCAGCACATGGTTCAAGGGCTTAGCATCATGCGCGATTACCGACTAAGGCCAAGATTCGCTGCCAGCGACGCCGCAGTCAAATTTGAACCCGCCCACTATAGACAGATGCCTTTGATTGATATCTTCATCGTCAAACTCTTCGCTGCGCCATGCAAGTTTGCTGATCTACCACCCACGACTACTAGTGGCACGGACGAGACGATGGCTGCTGTATTGACAACACCACCTCAAATACAGCCTCTTGAGTCTAGTAAGCTTCGTCTTCGCACGATTGCGCCCGATATGGCAACTGGGCTTACTAGGATTGCTGTGACGACGTTGAAATTCCTCGACAGGGTGTCGGATGTCGCATCGGGGACGGACGCTCTTCAATTACTATCCGAAAAGGCAAACCTGTTGGAGTCGTTAGAATCGTGGCATATTGGTCTCGATATCGATCTCTCGGATGCCAAGCCTCATCAATCTGAGCCCCTTTCGGTGTCGTTCCTGCGCTTCCACCACCAGATACTGAAAATTGTTCTTTTGGGAGCACTTTACTCATCACCAGGTGATGATGCCGAGATCCAAGCCGGTGTTGACCAATTGCACCGCATTGCTGGCTTTGTAGAAGAGGGATCCAGGGCTTACAGAATGCGCAACGGGGTTTGAAACGACCAGCGGTAAATACCACTGGCATATATGCGGTAGTAAATGGTACGGCGAAGCGGCGCAATATTGCTCAATCGCACGTGTAATCCCATCGTTCTGGCGGCAAATAGAACAGACTGAAGCACCCTTTGGCAAAGATCACCCTCACTCGTAGATACCAAGCCCTTTCTTCTGAAACGAGGGTACAGAAATATTCAGCATTTCTTCTAAATTAATCCATATCGTACCTAACACACTATCTACTTGCCCCAGCCATGGCTTCTTTATCAGCTGCCAGCAAGTTATGTATGGCCGGCCGGTTGACGACGCGATTCCACCATGCATTAACTGATTTGCGGCTGAGAATGAGATCTCCATAACCACAGACGAAAAGCCTCTGAATCTGCGGGATATAGTAGATGTCTACTAGTGTAAAGTCATTCCCGCCCATGTACTCCCTGCGCTGTAGGACGTTGTCCGCCACGTCGAAGAACGCCTCGACTGACTTCAACGCACCTGAGACGACAGCCTCGTCGGGAGACAATCCCATGAGCTTTTTGACGAACTTCTCAAAGGTGATTTTACCTGCGGGGTCGGAGAAGTAGATCATTTCTTCGGAAACAGCCTGGTCAAACAGTGCGGAAGCTTCCATGTCGGAGTCTCGGGGTAAAAGAGGAAACGAGTACTTCTTGGCGAGGTATTTAGAGATCACGCGGCTCTCGTAGAGGGTGAATCCATCGGGAAAAGTGACGACGGGGACTTTGCCCCATGGATGACGCTTCATGTGTTCCTCAGACTGTACACAATGGTTAGTTAATGATACACTCAGCGTAGGAGAAATGGTTTTGTTCGCCCCTCACCTTTTGCTCTCCTTTGAATAGGTTGATCCATACGAGTTCGTAATCCGTAAAGCCACCTTCGGCGAGAGTCAGGCGCACACGGTCCGTATTGGTTGAACCGCGAGCGCCGTACAGAATGAAAGCTGGAGCCATTTTTGAGGGATACAATATTTTCGATACGAGTCTTGGGCCGTTGGTGGTGAGCTTTAACAAGAGATAAATACCAGTCTATCCTGATTGTTACTTCCGGAGAGAAGCTTAACTGTGGCAGTCAATCGTCGTTTTATATCAATCGCAACGGATGGACCAAGCCTCTCAATGGAGTTACATTGGTTTTGACTGACAATACACATACGAATAGATCAAGCCCCTGGTCATGGACAACGGCACATGTGGTTGGCTGGTTCGCTGTTGCTTCCTAATCGAGCTAGCGCCGACCCCTCGGCCAGCCGTCCGGGAGTGCCGTGCCGGGCGGGGACTCTTGCCCCGCGTGATTCGGGCGGTTCGCTAGTTCTACTGCGGGCTATGCCAAGAACGCTGTGCAAGCAGCCCACTCTGTACTTTTTATTACTTTTCATCCATGCGTCGGAGTCTGGTCTAGGAGATACACAGGATTTCGGACTAATGTTGCAGAAGACAAACGATAATCTCCATCTACCTACGAAATGGATTATCAATCCTTCTCCTCTTAAGACCTTATGCTAAGCCTCTTGGAGTCACTACGAGCTGGCGCATGCCGCTCTCTGATCCAGGCAGCCAGGTCAGCCTCTCATTTGTATCGGGGTCGGTTCTTCTGGCTTTTCCGACAGCCGATGAGGCGACTCTGCTTACGCATTCGAGGTCGTCTGCCGAGCTTTTTGTCACGTCGCAAACTAGGAACGCATTTGATACCGATTCCCGGGATCTAGATAAGCCTCCTTATTAGATTTCTTCCTGCCCCTCATGGCGTGTACAGCTTATCTATGACACATTGTGCATCTCCAAATAAAGAAACCTATAGTTCAACTGTTTATGGCCCTAACCTTAGATAGGTATTGTAAAATTGATGTCTAAGTGACGATCTAAGTAAGCCAGTGTACCTCTTGTGAAGAGTATTTAGACAATTTCATTAATATGAAGAAATACTTTCTTAATTGAAAGTATTCCTTTAAAAGCAATGTAAAAAGGTCAAGTCTGCTGAGTCTCTTTGCTGCCTCTCCCATTCTAATGACCTAAGTACCAAACCCAGGGCAAAGTTCTGCCTCTTGATTGTGGTTCGCAACAAAAACGCCCGGATCCACGTGCGCGACTAGGGGAATGGCATTTTATGATGGACATCGTAATTACGGAAAGTAGGGTAATCAGAGTGACAAAGCGTGACTTACCTAAAGTACGTTGCGTAATATTTAACCGCGTGCTCAGAGAACACATTCCGCATCCTCTCAATACTGAGGTATTTGGGGAGAGTGGGTCGACTGGCGTCCATTTACGGTATACGGAACGAACGAACCAATCAGCATCATGACAGGCAAGCGCACTAAGATATAATCTTCGCTTCAGCCATAAGGTAATGATATCAAACATCACCGGGTCAAGCTCCAAGTTTCTTCGTAATTTCATCGAATATAAGAAAACACACTCCCCCCTTTTGGCTGATTGCAAACTGTTTTACTTTCAAACGCATCTCTAATCTCATCCCGTCCTGTGAATCCAGCTTTTCTTTTCCCCTCCACAACCCACTTCGTATAAGTTCTGGCACACAGGCAAAACAGTACTAGAGACTGAATAACTTCAGCCATATCCCATCATCATGCATTTCTTCCTTCTCGGAGCCACTGGGCGGACGGGCAAGCACGTCGTGTCCGAGTTATTATCCCAAGGTCATACAGCTGTAGCCCTCGTCCGCGCGCCTGGCAGCCTTCCTTCTCACCCTGGCCTCACCATCGTCACGGGTTCGCCGTTGTCAAAATCGGATATCAAAGCCGCTCTCTCCGCGGCGCCTTCTCTGACACCTTCTGCGGCTATCGTCACCTTGAACACGGTCCGGGAGTCTGAAAGCCCTTTCGCGCCCCAGCTCTCTCCTCCTCGCTTCCTGGCCGACTCGTGTGCCAATCTTTGCGAGGTTCTTGAGCAGGAAGGCATTAGTAGGATTGTCTTCATGTCCACGGCGGGGGTCGGAGACTCCTGGGCCAACCTACCGTGGCTGTCTAAGGCGTTTATGGGATGGACTAACATCAAATACGCACTCGAGGATCACAACCTCGTAGATAAAGAGATTCGATGGACAAAAATGAATTGGACTCTTGTAAGGGCTTCAAGGCTGGAGTTCGATGACCTCGAGAAGTCGAAGGAAGCTGACACCGAAGCGGATGTGGAAACGCTGGGCAGCGCTGGCATCGGAATGCGCATGGCCGACAGCGTCAGTGTTTCCAGTGCCGCGAGGTTCCTGGTCAAGGTTGCAGTCGAAGGACTTTTTATCAAAAGCGCAGTAGTAATAAGGAAGTGATTCTGCAGAGGATGTCGCGGGATCAATTACTTTACTCTTGAGAAATTGTCAAAGCATCCACCTTTGCTGTTTAGGATCCTTGCACATTGGTAACAGCCATAAAAGCGGCGATAGTACGGCCAGGTTAAAATAGAAGCACGAAAGCACAATTTCATGGCAAGGTAATACACCTTGTAGCACAGCATAGACGAAGAGACTCGACGGGTGTTATTTCCGTTGCTTCTAAACAGAACGTTCTATCCAGGAGCATCAACTTATAAAAAGAAAAGGCAGTACTGAAATTTGAATAAATGAGTTTGTTGTTATAGTCTAGTAGAACCTGTATTGTAATAGAGATACTTTAAATGACAATCTAGCATATAGCCTCTTCGTTAATAGAAGGCTTCATCATCCTCATAATAATCCTTACTATATGTTATAATTACTCTTGAAGTGCCTTTAGCATTCCGTCAATTGCAAAAGCAGCAAGAGCCTCGAGGTTACCCATGCCAAGGAGTTCCAGCATACTAATATTAAAGCCAAAGGTCGCGCGCCACCAGCTACGCATCTCGATAGCAACGAGCGAGTCCATACCGAGATCAGCCAGCGCGACAGATGTCTGGATTTCGTCCTCGGGTCGGAGTACCAGGGTGAAAAGCTTCTTGCCGATTTCGCGAGCCAGGAAGTCGACAGCGCCTTCTTCCTTCAACAGCCCTTCGTCACCGCCTCGTGCTGATTTAAGCCAGATCTTGAGGGCCTCACTCGACGACGAGCCGCCCGGCCCAGATCCGTCCTCGCCAGTTGAAATATTGCGGTACACTGCCATGCGCATGTCCTTCTTCCAAAGGGACCGGTTGCTAGAGCTAGTGAGCGGCGTGGTCGAGGCCAGGCCAAGAACAAAGTTCGTTCCCGTAGCGGGGCCCTCCTTAAGCAGCACCGATGCGCCAATGGCCTCCATGAGCTCCGCCTCGTTGATCATGTACGCTCCGGTCGTCTTCATAGCGCGGCGGAGGGTCTCGTTGTTTGAGATGACGCCGATGTCGTCGACGGCTCCAATGTCCACTGAAGATGCCGGGAGGCCCTGGGTCAAACGCCACCTGGCGAAGGAATCAAGGAAGGTGTTGGCCGCGGCGTAGTTGGCCTGGCCCGGCTGGCCCACGATGCCGGAAATGGAGGAGAAGAGGACGAAGAAGTCCAGCGAGGTGCAGTCCTGTGTGGCGAGATGGAGGTTCCACGTGCCTTGGACCTTGGGCGCGACGGCCTGCTGCCACTCTTCGAGCGTCATGCCGTCCCAAGAGCGGTCGCGGAGGACCATAGACATCTGCATGACTCCGCGGAGGCACTCTTTGCCGCCCGCCGCCTCAACAGCGCGCCGGACGTCCGCACCCTCACATACATCGCCCTTGACCAGCGTCACACGGGCGCCCATGCTGCGCAGCTCTTCGATGAAAAGTTTGTCCTCATCCTTGGAGCCAGCGCTGCGTGAAAGGTATACGAGATGGCGCGCACCGCGTTCGACGAGCCAGCGCGACACGCCCTGGCCCAGACCTCCGAGACCGCCAACGAGTAGATACGAAGCGTCTGCCGAGCCGTTGTCTCCGCCGCTACCGCCGAGAGAGACCTCTCTCTTGCGTGTGGCAGCCACCAACTCCTCCTCGGGATCGGCATCGGGGGTTTCCCTGATCTTGATGACAATTTTACCCATGTGAAGTCCCTGCTGCATGAAGCGGAAGGCCTCGCGGACCTTTCCGGCGCTGAAGACGGTGACAGGCCGGACGGGTTGAATGTAGCCGTCGTTGTAGCACTCGACCACGCGTTGAAGAAGCCTAGGTAAGTCTTGTCAGATTCTGATTTAAGCTTGGGGGGTTGGAGGGGAATCAGGGACTTACTCTTTACAGATAGTCCGCCTCTTGAAGCAAAGTTGGTCAAGATCGACACAGCAGTATGATCGATTAGCCAGGAAGACGTCCATTTCCAGTCTACCAGAGCCAAGAAGATCTCGCTTGCCGATCTCTACCATGATACCGAACTCGGCGACACATCTCCATGTGGCATGCAGTAGCTCTCCGGACAGAGAGTTGAGGGCGAGGTCAACGCCGTTTCCATTGGTCACAGACTTGATCCCTTCAACAAAGGACTTGTCTCGCGAGTTAAAGATGTGTTCTCGGGGGATGTTGAAGGTATCCATTAGATACTTCACCTTCTCCTCGCTACCTACCGTCGTGTAGATGACCGCACCGGCCATGCGGGCAAGCTGGATGGCGGCGATACCGACGCCGCCGCAGGCACTGTGGATCAGGACGGACTATTGTGAGAAGTGTATGTCAGCTTACCCTAAGTCTATCCAGAATGGGTTGAGATAGAGTCAGTAACTTACCTGTCCTCGCTGCAGACGGCCTATGTTGAAAAGCGAGTAGATTGCAGTCGCATAGACGCAGGGCATCGTTGCGGCGTCCTCGAGAGACAGGCCATCGGGTATCTTCTCACAAAGTTCCTCAGGGATGGTGATGGATGTCGAAAATGAGCCCCGGTTCAACAGGAAGACGCGATCACCAGCGCGGAGGTGTTTGACGTCTGGGCCGACCGCGGAAACGACACCAGAAGCCTCGAGACCGAAACCTTCCTCAGGCATGTCAACGATGCCGTTGGCGCTCAGCACGTCCTAGGGAGAGATGTGTTAGTCATTACGGTCTTTCTCTCTCGTGTGTATATCATAGTCATAATGGCTGTGGCGCTTACCCTAAAGTTTAGTCCGGCAGCCGAAACCTTGACCTCGACGAGGTTTCCCTCGAGTGGCGTCGAAACGCGGCGGTTCCAGGTAAGGGCCGCAAGCAAGCCAGGCTTCTTCGTGTCAAGCACGACCCTGTCTCCCGCGTCGGCGCACTGCAGCTCGTCGGCGAGGGAGAAGGGATAGAAACGGCCAGTGTGTACTACGTTGTCGACGATGGCGTACTCATAGTCGGGATCCAAAGCAGTGGGGTCGTCCTTGGCTGTAGCCGCCTTGGCCTCTCGCGCCGTCGCAAAGTGTCTAAAGACGGTCGCAATGCTCCCGGCGGAGGCGCCGACGTCGTCGACCTCACATGTGGCGAAGGCGACATCCGCCTCGGACCGGAGTGTGCGTGCGGTGCCGATGACTTGCGCGTGCAACGGGCTCTCATAGGGCGCCACCTGGCAGAGCCGTGTGATCCAGAAGATGCCGGAGCCGCTGGCAGAGGCGGTCCTGACGAGGTTCTTGAATGCCTCGTACCGTTTCTCGTCGATGCCGTCGAAGAAGGCGTCCTGTTGATCGAGCAGGGCGATGACATCTTCGCCCTGGGGTACCTCGTCGCCCAGATTCCTCTGGGTCACGACAAACCCGACCCTGCCCAGCTCCTTCTTCAGCTCGTCCACAACCAGAGGGTTCTCAGAGCTAGTGCGGCAGAGGAGAGTGACCTCACGGCCAGACGGGGACTTGGCCACAGTTTCAGCGTGCCGAATGATCATTAGGTTATTCTGCTGGAGATCCTCGCGCGGCGAATCGGGCATGGAGACGGAGACGGCCAGGTCGGCACCGCTCAAGACTTTGTTCCAGGAGGCGAGATCGATGTAAGGCTCCTCGACCCTACCGTCAGTGACGCCGCTCCACCATCGGGGCACGGCACCCATGACAAAGTTCAGCCACTTGGACGAGCCGGACGAGAACTCCTGTAGAAGCACGCGACCGTCGGGGCGGAGAAGCCGGCGCAGGTTTGCCAGGCTTTCTGAGAGCTTGGGTGTGGCATGCATTACATTTGTTGCGATGATGACGTCGTACCCCGGTTCGTTGTCAGCCGCGAAGCCCTGCTCCTCGAGCGGCTGTGAGATGTCGAGCGTCTTGTATTGCATGTTGGCGGCTGCCTTGAAGCGCTCCTTGGCCGCCGTCACAACGCCCGAGGACAGGTCGGTAAAGGTGTAGGTAGAGTACATGATTGGGCCACCGTTTTCGTACACTAGGCTGCGGAGGGCCTCAGCGGTGTGCGTACCCATACCAGCTTCAAGTTCAAGGACGCGGAGGTCTGGTCGCGAGCGAGCGAGCTGGCGCAGGAGGCGAGACGTGTCAAAGGCAGTATCCCGGAGAGCCTTGACCTTGGCGAGGCTGTCATCGGCCAGAAGAACATTGGACGCGCTGTCACGGCCCTGGAAAATGCTGGTGATACTAGAGAGAATCTTGAAGACGGCCAGCGCCGCCCCGGCTGCCGCGGTATCATGGAGAGCTAGGAGCTTGGCTTTGATGGCCTCGAAGAGAGCCCAGTCCTCCATCTCAATCAGGGAGGCGTCTGCCCTCGAAGCCTGCTCGCGGATCCAAGCAGCGTATCTCTCCATGAAAGGGAGCATGGTTTGGAGGTTCGAGAGGCGTCGCTGAGCATAGACGAGGCAGAGCTGTGTCATCTCATCGAGAGCGGGCAAATAGAGCTCGCGATCCTCGGTCTTGGGCGTATCAACAAGCGAAAGCTCGTCGAGAAAGTCAACGTGGGGGCCCCAAGAGTAGCGGGCGGTTGAGTGAGAGTCCTTGGCGCGTTCTTCAGAACCCTCTCCTGGCAGCGGCGCAAGACGAGCGCCGGACATGTCGAGAACGACTTCGCCGCCGGCTGTGAAGCACCGACAGGACCCAGTGATGGCGCCGAGACTGCTTATCTCGGCCTCAGACGACAGCTCAACGTCGGACGTGCTGCGGTAGACCTTGAGCTCCTCTACGAGGGTGGGAATTGCCATGCTCATCTTCTGAGTGTAGCCCTTGGTCGCCGCAACGCTTAGGATTTGTAGGCAGGCGTCGAGCATGATAGGGTGCAGATGGTACGGCTGCTGGGCTGCACCACCCTCGAGCTTCGGGACTTCCACCTCAGCCGCCGCCGACCGATCCAGCGTGCCTGTTCGGATGTTCTGCAGAGCTTGGAAGAATGGCCCGTATCGGAGGCCGACCTCTTGCATGATGCCATACGCCTTGCGTGTTCCTAGCGTACGCGTCATGCTGTGACGGGCATCGTCGCCGGGAACAGCAGGGATGCCGCCGCCGTCACCGCCGTCGACAGTGCGGCTGAGGGACTGGACCTGTCCGGTGCAGTGCTTCGTCCATAGAACTCCGTTGTGCGAGGCAATACTGAACTCCCACCACTTGCTGTCGAGGGAATCCGTGAGGCGAACGGGGCGCAGCGTGGTGAGCAACTCGAGGGGTTTGCCGTCTGTGACGACGAGCGCCGTGCTGACGATGACATGACGGAGGGCATAGCCGTCCTCGAGGCCGGTGATCTGGCGAGCTGCCTCAGCCGCCATCGCCATGTAGCCGGCGAAAGGGAACACAACGTTTTCGGCAATAATGTGGTCACGGACCCAGGGGGACTGCTCGACGTGGAAGACGTTACGCCACGTTGGCTCAAGATCAGTGCTTTCGGTCGTACGAATACCCAAGAGCTCGTGGTAAGGGTGCTTGCGTAGCCGCCACTCCTTGGAAGTTCTCGACTCCCACCAAGCCGTCTCCTCATGGTCCCAAGCGTACCGGGGAAGGTCGGGGAGGAAAGGGTTTGTTCCTGAGCCTCTAGGCAACAGAGAGCCAAGATCAATCTTCACATTCAGCTGATGGAGCTTGCCGATGGCCGTGAGATAGCTCTCGACGCAGTTTCGGCTGCGGATCATGGCTGACACGTAGGGCAGCGTCACTGGGGGCACGGCGTTGGCCGTGATCTGCCTCAGCGGCCCGGCCATTGCAGAGTGCGGACCGACCTCGAGCAAGACGGAGCGATTGGGTTGCTGCTGCGCCAACTCCGGGTTCTGGAGTATCTGGGAAACAGCCGTCGAGAAGAGGACGGGGCTCTCGAGGTTGCTCTTCCAGTACTCAGGGCCGAGCGATTCACTGGGCTGAAGCAGCTTGCCGGTGACGCTGCTGTAGAAGAGACAGCTGCGGGCTCCGCCAGCAACGATGTTGTGGTCTTCCAAAGCCTTGCGGTACCATTCGCCCACCTCGGCCATGTGGTAGGAGTGGTAAGCCTTGTCGATTTTGAGGAGTCTGGCCAAGACGTCCTTGCCGCCAGGACGCGACTGCTTGATCTTGGCCAGGACGGCCTCGACGGCGGGCGTGTCTCCGGAGATGGTGACGCTGTGCGGAGAGTTCTCACAAGCGACAGCAGCCGTCGTGCCAGCCAAGTACAGCTTCACATCATCCCAGCCGAGACCGACGGCGGCCATGCTTCCAGCTCTCTGCTGCATCTTGGCCGCGACACCACGAAGCCAGGCCACAATGATGGCCTCCCGGGCCGTAAGGGCGCCGGCAGCATAGGCACCGGCGATCTCACCGCTAGAGTGGCCCACGACGGCAGTCGGTCGGATACCTACAGATGCCAACGTGTCGACGAGAGCGACTTGTACGGCCGTGCAGAGCGGCTGGGACACTTCAGCCAGGTCCATGCGGCTCTGCTTCCCGACCTTGAGCAGCTCTCGCTCGATGCTCCATTCAGGCTTCGTGAGTAGTGTCTCCTTGAGGGCGGCATCAAGGGAGCGGATGGTCGAGCGGAACACCGAGTTGTCCTGCTGGAGCAGCTCGGTACCCATAGCCGGCCACTGAGCGCCCTGGCCGGTGAAGACCATGACGACGTCCGGCGAGTTCTGCGGCGCCCGGACGAAAGCGGACACGACCGAGTCGCCGCTCTTGGTGGCAATGGCGAACGCGCGGTGGGAGAGGTGCTCTCTGCCGTTGGCCAGTGTGTACGCCAACCGGGAAAGTTTGTCGGGGTTACTCTCCACGAAGGACTGGAAGTTGTCGACTGTGGTCTTGAGGGAGCTTGACGAATTCGCCGAGTAGAGGAGCAACTGCGGCTCGTCGTCGGATGCTTGTGCTTCTTGCCCCAGAGTAGACAAGGGGGATGAGGTCGAATCCAGCGGCTCCACGCCATACGAGCGAGCAGACTCGAGAATGGCGTGTGCGTTGGTGCCGCCGATGCCGAAACTGTTGATACTCGCGCGCTCGTAGCGGTCCTTGGGCCAGGGGGTGGGGTCGACTGGCACGACGAGGTTGCTCTCCTTGAAGGGGATGTTGGGGTTGGGCTGTGAAAACTTGATGTTGGGCGGGATCACGCGGTTCTCGAGGGCCATGACGACCTTGATGATGGAGGTCAGGCCTGACGCGCCCTCGGAGTGACCTAGGTTCGGCTTGACGGAGCCGATATACAGCTCACGCTCCTTGGTGCCGAAGACACGGGCCACGGCGTTGGTCTCAATAGGATCGCCGGTGGGCGTGCCGGTGCCGTGGCACTCGACAAAGGTGGTCTTGGAGAAGTCATCGATGCCGGCCAATTCATAGGCCTTCCGGATCAAGGCTTCATGACTCTCAGTGCTGGGCATAGACACGCCTTGCGTTTTGCCGTCGGCCTTTTTGTCCAGAATCAGTACATACACATTATGTTTTGCAAGAATTAGTTTAGGTACTCACGTTTGTTGCCGTTTGTTTGATGATGGCGCGCACCGGGTTCCCATCCCTCAGTGCGGCGTCAAGAGGCTTGATGTACAGAGCCGAAACAGCTTCACCACGGCCGTAGCCGTCGGCATCAGCAGAGAAGGTCTTGCAGGAGCCCTCAGGCGAGAGTACGCCCTGTTCGCTCATGGCCTGCGTCATGCCTGGGGCAAGAATCAGGTTGGCGCCGCCGACGATGGCAGACGAGCAGTCACCACGACGGATGGCGCGGCACGCTTCGTGGAGGGCGACCATTGCTGCCGAACAGGCGGTGCGGACCGTCATGCTAGGATACAGTCAGTTAACTGTTATAAGAGAGTGATTATACTACACAGGAGACTTACCTAGGTCCCTTAATGTCCAGTTCATAAGACACGTGGTTGGACAGCATAAAGTCACCAGAGCCGGTAGTACGGTAAACACCGTACGGCTGGTTCTCCTTGGCGTTCATCTCGATCCAGTCTTCGCCGAAGCTGCCGACATAGCAGCCGATAAGGCTGCCACGCCAGCCAGTCACGCCGGCGTCCTCGAGACTCTCACGGGCGACCTCCATCATCTGGATGTGGTGGGGATCCATGCGCTCGAGCGAGCCGCGGACGAAGCTCGAGAAGGCGCCGTCGACCTTTGTCAGGTCAACGTCAAGGAAATATCCGTGCCGGGTCTTGACAGTGCCCGGTCGACCTGAGGGGTCATAAAAGGCCTCGACGTTATACCGGGACTCGGGCACCACCGACTTGGCGTCGCCTTTGGCGAGCAGAAACTCCCACAACTGCTGAGGAGTATGCAGCCCGCCGGGGAGGCGACATGCCATGCCGCAGATGGCTATTGGAATGTCGGGGTTGGATTCAGATAGGGCTGGTGTGGCCGCACCATTGCCGTTGGTTAGATCGTTGAGGATTTCTACTCCGTTGGATTTGCCGATACCGTTCAAGACATCACCAGCGGGCCGGTCACCATTCAGGTAACCGCTATGTCCGTTGGATGTGGCATGATTGTGGGTGCCGTTCAGATGGGTGCCTTTGCTGCCGTTTAACACAGAGTGGCCAACGGGAACTGGCAGGCTTTCGTCAAACGCGTCGCCATTGGTTGAGGAGATAATGCCGGGTGCCATTTCAAGACACTGAGAAAGCCGTTGACCTTTAGATTTTGCTTGTGTTTAGTTCTTTCTTGCTTTTGACGCGTTGTGGTATGATGCTCGTTCGACTTAATGTATTCGTCCTGACGGCAGTAGGGCACTGTCGAGCCTTTTTTAGATTCGTCGCTTACCTTCATCATGAGTCGCCATGGCGTGAATGTTGAAGAATGAGATAACGCCATCGGCTTCCCTTGAGCCTCAGCCTGCCCTTGGCGCCATCCACCATGTTTCCGATGGCGAGCTGACACGGCTTACACATCCCATGTAGAGTTCTAGACACACGAACGCCTCCGGAACCCGTGTCCCAGGATAATGCAGGCGGCCGTGGCTGGCCATGGCCACGGCGGAAGCGAACGGGTTCCGTGTCCGAAGGATCCATCAGAGCCCATCTGTGTAGAGGATCGAGAGGCACAGCAGGAACCAATTGTTTGGGGTGGTGGGTAAGATATTATATTCCGGTAAGCGGAGACTTCAGGCACAGCGACGCGAGGGATTTTTGGGTTTAACCCAAAGCACATATGTGCCAGGCGGTCACCTACTAGTTCGTGGGGTAGCAGCAACATGATCTGGGGTCTATCATAACTTGGATGATAGTTTAAATTTCTAAGTCACACTAAAGATACCAGCGTAGCAACAGCTACTTTTCCATTGACTGAGATTGGGAACACACACACCCATATGAGGAGAACTAGCTTCTCAGAAGATGGGCAAGGCACCTTCCAGCTGATCGAATAATGCAACCTTTGTGTTACAATTTATTATCTGTATACCCTGATTACATTAGATGTGCCGAGTCACATATCGGGTACTAACGTTGTGGGAAACACAAAGGTGTCCACAATGCACTACTGTGTATAACCCATCATGAGGGGTAAACTGGGAAGAACTGGGCATAATGTATTACATCATTTCAGGGTAGTAGCATGCGCTGTAGAACCCCTATGCAATCCGTCAATCATGCATTTCTCAAAGACAGCTGTCCAGCCCTGTAAGGTTTTTGAATATTTTCTCCATGGGGGGCACTTGTTACCCCCTTGTTATCCCCTCGTTGTCACTCTTGTTTACGCCCCAATTTTTATAGGTGGATAATCTTACATGGAGGCTTGAAATGGTGTGTGCTCACACTCGGGCATGTAAGTACAAGAGAATGTGCGCGCGCGGCTTATAAGCCTACATATGCAGCCTGGCTAGATAACGAGGTGACATCTAGCCAGGCAGGTTTTTAGCGAGCTTGGCGACTAATCTTTTCGTCAACTGAAGTGGCGTACTTGGACATGTCTTCAGATTTGGAGTTTAACCCCCACTCTTCGGTCTGTGTCATCCCCCAGACATTCATAACCTCCCCCACGCCACGGGAAGCGAATAAACAGCACATTAGCCAAAACTCGTATTCGCTTGGCTATCTTACTGACTGCTGGAACCCATTGCGGCCGACGCTTTAAACTCCCACAATCCGCACGATTCTCAGTAAGCAGTGTCGTATCTTTCCTATCTTGTTGAATGCGGCAAGACTCTATTTTTACCAAGCCGATAAATTCCAATTCCAATAGCGTTAGGAACACTCTATACTCCTCCGCTTGAGCAACAGTAAATCCCATCGAGTGCGGCCTAACCACAGTGTAACCGCCCCTCTCATAACAGAGATGCATGGCGACATAGCGTCCTGGTCATTGCGATCCCATGATGTTTACCTAAAAGTGATCCCATCAGGCCCAGCGTGGTAGCAGGTACACGGCTTGCGGGGTACTGGCCAATCAGGAACAGATTATGTACAATTATGTTTGTATAGTAAGCATTTTGTTATCTAGCATTTGGAGAATGACAGGTTTGTGAATAGGCTGAGCTGCACCTGGCATGCCTAGAACCAATGGGATAAAGTTGATCGTAATAGGTCATATATATTCCCGCTGAACGCCCGCTGGACGGTAGAAACGACTAGAGCACTGCTCAAGTAGACTATTGGATTGGTTAAAAGAGCCTTCCCTATCCCCTGATCGATTCCTGCCCCTCATACATAGACTAGTAAACAATAAACAAAAACCCGATTAGCCCTACGCCGCCCTTGGCGAAAACGGTGCCTAGAAGCAGTGGATGGGATGAACCACTAAACCTAGAAATCGCCGAGACTCTCATCCTCCAGTAATATGCTGCAGCTGCCAAGGTGCCATCAATTTGCTCGCTGTGGGATTCCGGTGAGCTATGTCTTGGTGTAACCCTCATTCCATCCATCAGGATTTTACATGCATACAGATGGGTACCATCGTCTCACCGGCTGGGGCTTACACTAGATGACGCCTTGCGATCTCGGTGGGATGACAGCCAAGGGTCCATCTATGGATATGCGCCTCTTTTCGTACTGTTTGCCAATACATACGATGCCTGGGGACACGGGGGACCGGGTGGCGTCCCAAGGGTGGTTGCACCATCCAAGCCAATATCGGCGCTAAAAGGTGACTTGCAGTATGACAGGTCGTCACATTAGTCGGAGTGTAACCATGAAAATTAATGACGTCCCGTCCCGTCCCTTGTCAGGATGCTCATCCGGTTGGCCGGGCAGAACGCCCAGTATTCCTGCAGAATGTCCCAAGCGAAGTTCCACGGCACTGTGTAGCGGCTACGCGTGATATCTAATGGCTACGCGTATTATAAGAAAAGAGCCGCTCGGGTTCCGGGCTGTCCTCGATCTTCGGTGATCAGACGCCGAGATTTGAAAAAGCCGAAAAAAAAAAGTTTGCGTTGCCATCATTTGCAGCGTCCAGTCAGAGCTTGTGCGGTCATGTCGGGCAAGAAGCGAAACAGAGACGGTGTTGAAGAGGTCTGTTCATCCTGATCGTGCTCCATGAACCTACCGCCCTCAGGAAGGGGAGGGGGTTAGGAGGAGAAAAGGGAGTAGGCCAAGGCGGAGGGTTTGAATATGCTCATGAATAGTGACTGACCAATGTTCTCGCTCATACAGGAGGGACCTAATGGAAAGGACCATATGGGTACGTTGTAAACTCGTGTTCCATATCAATTCCTGATGATTATTGCGCTTGGCACGCTTCCCTCCCTTCTCCATCGATACATGTCTAAGCATAAAGACGACGGAGTGAGAAGAATGGGAACACGATGGATCCAAAGTAAAGTAACTGGTGTTAACGAGAGACTCTTCACAGCCTGTGACCAATGCCGTATCAAGAAGATCCGCTGTGGTAAAGAGCGGCCTCAATGCTCCAACTGTAGCCGGCTCGCCATGTACTGCGAGTGGTCTGGACATGGGAAGAAGCCAAATCAAACAGTACTGCTGTAAGACTATTTCCTTGACCTCTTGCCGTGTCATTGTCTGGTACCCCTTCTGTTGGCCCTCATCAGGGGACAGGGGCGAGAGAACCAACGACACGGAACCAACCTTTGTATTATTGCCAAGGTTTTGAAGTTGCCTAACCGAGAAAAATCTACGTGCAGTCACCAGTCAATCGCGACCATTGACAACCGGCTTGAGCGTATCGAGGGAAGAGTCTGTGGCATGTACCAGCTGCTGCAACATCTTGGCCCTCACTCCGCTTCTGGTGCTACTAGACCTTATGGCGGAGGCGGCGGCGGCTCGATGCCAGAGACCGACTCGGGCTACGGATACCTGCCCGGCATGACCTCGTCCAATTTCCCGGGAAACTCACCGGCATGTACGCCGACACCCCCTGCGGTGTACCATATTGCGCATGGTCCACGCGGCTACGAGCGTTACTTCGGACCCACGTCCCTCATGTCCCTCTTGCACAACTTTGACGATCTCCCGCTGCTGCAGACGACCGACAACAGCAGCAACAGCCAAGCAAAGATGACCTTGACAGTGACAAGAGCGGAACCACCGGTTCCGGTAGCGGCAGCAGCAACGAGAGAGAACCCAGGGCCCCTGACGGACGCCGCGGAACGCGTGAGGCGGCTCGTATCGGTTCACCGGGAGCGGCAAGCAGCCAGAGATATCAGCAAGATTGACGGAAGGGTTATGGTAAAAGAGCCCTCGATGCTGATCCTGGTAGCCCTCGTCGATCCCTACTTTCAGTTATGCAATCCGCATCTCCCGATATGGACAAGGGCCGGGTTCCGCAAGCTGCTAGACGCAGCGCAGGAGAATACCGGAGCCCCCCAGTCCACATCTTTGACCTTTGCCATGTGCGCTAACAATCTTGTTCTGCTAACGCTCACCGCCATGGCCCTTCATGGTCAGGCGACTGGAGGCAGCTCCAGGGCTTCCAACGGCACTATTGACGTGGAGGTTATCCAGTCTTACATAGAGAACGCGAGCCGAGCTATGTTACACATTGGACAGCTTTTGGAACCTCGCTTGGTCAACGTCCAGGCGCTCTTGTCATTGGTTAGTCTGCAAGTCTATCATATTCCCCTCCCAGATCCCCTTCCCCGTCATCCCGTCTCCCAACCCCGCTCTTTGACAATCTTATCAAGAGAGGACTAGTGCTGACATAGAGGGTGCTTCTTTGTGGAAAATTAAGTGTGCCGTGGCCCAGGTCTGCCTCCCGGAAGAAGTCTTCAGTCTTGCCTTAACCCTGGCAAACCAAGTCGCCAAGTCGATGGGTTTGCACCAGTCCCAGGGTTGGAGCTCCAATATGAGCCCAGAAGAGGCTGAGGAGAGAAGAAACGTCCTCTACTGCCTGTATTGCCTGGACAAAGCTGTGTCTTGGAACCACGGATCTGCACCCAGTGTGGGTAGCACTGCCGGATTTCTTGCCGGACTCGCAGGTACGCAGCAGGGGCTGTCTGATGCAGTCAGTAGCGGCGGAGACGGTAGTGGCAGCAGCGCTCTCTACATGAGCGCGAGATTCGCTCTGGCTCAGATCGATGATAACCTCTACACAAGTCTCTACGGGCCCGATGCGGCGGCTGCCACGCAGGGTTTTGAGGGTTATTTTAGCAAAATCAACCTTGAGGGCTTCGAAGCCAGACTCAGGCACTGGAGAAAGCTTTACGATTTCCACAACGATACCGGCGGTGGTAACCACATCTCTTTCGCGGATGACGGGGACGGTAACCGGCTATCGCATGTTTCCAGACTGGACCTGGAGGTCAGCTACAGCCTTACGCGTATGCAATTGCTTTCGCGCTTCGTCGAAGACCCGGAAGTTTGCTCTGCGCTGCTCGACAATGCCCGCAGCTGCTTGGTCTCGTTGCAACGATTGTGGGCTGCTACATCCGACCCAGGCCACTGCTTTAGCTTCGCCCGGTAGGTCCAGTCAATTACCATTTTATCAGGATATAATGAGTGCTAACAGATCTCACAGACTAGTTTCGTCATTCCCCCCGGTGGTTGTATATCGACTCGCCCTCCAAGCTGCAACCTCTGAGGGGCCTATGAGCGGCAGCGATATTGAGCTACTGGGCTTCCTAGCCAGCTCATTACAGACGATGGCGTCGATGTTTGGGGTCACGGACTCGTATACCTCGAAGTTCTCCGCCTTCGTCGACATCATGCTAGGTTTTGTCCACGACAGCCACCAGCAAGATAGAGAGCAGCAGCATCAGCGACAACAATCCATTTCCTCTCATCATCAGCAATATAGCCCGGCGGCAAGCCAGCAGCAACATGAACAGAACGTAAAAATAACACACCAAACAAACGCGTCGATTCACAGCTTTCCCATGTCATATGATGCTTTATCATCCTCCTCCAAGAAGCAATCTCCTATAGCAAGCGAGCCGCTGCAGGTGAAAAGCCGTGATTCTGCGATCGCAGCGTCTCCAGGATCGGCTGCAGAACATGTAACAGACGCAAACCGTGTAAACATCGACGTGGATAAGGGTTTGATGACGGTACCGGCAGGTCTGCTTGCGAACGGCCGGGACGAAGAGGCTCATGAGAACTATGTAAGTGGTGGAGATCTGGAGTCATTGATGGAGTATTGGTGTCACCAACAAAAGATGTCCGGTTCAATGGTGTTTGGTGAGTTGGACAGCTCGGAGATAGGGGTTGACCACAACACTTGGCAGTGAGACGCAATCTCCATGATAAGACGAATCTTTGAATTAGACTGTGTGGCAAGATATGACTGTACGAAAATGCAATCCCATTTATGTACAAAGGAAAAAGGAGTTTTTGCTCGGATAGGTTATGGACGTATACATTGGTCGCGTTTAGCAAAAAATGGCTCTACTAGAGTTCACGAAACTATGAATGCACATTCATTAAGAAGCTACTTTAAGAATGATTTATACCAGTCAACACCATACTATGAAAGTCTCCTACTCGTCAATTGTTTACTCATTGGATAATCGACATGATGTGTAGTAAATAATTCAAAAAGGGCCTCAAGTGCTTTTTAATGATGCATGTATGTATTCAGGATTGAGATGATTCTATCCAAGATAACCATCGCGGACAACAAGACTAAAAACGAGTCATATCCCTGCTAGCTGCCACTGACCTAGACTTAAAAACCTTTGCTGCCGTTAGTGCCGTTTGTGCCATTGGTACCATTCGCGCCAGCAGTATCAGCGATGAAAGAGAACACAGTGCGCGCAGCCTTGGGAAGCTGGCCAGCGTTGCCGCTCTTCTTGATGTCCAGCATCTCCTGGGCCCACTCGCAGATGGCGTCGGCGACGCCCGTAACCTCCTCCTCGGAGTTGGTGGCTTTGAACACGAGACGTACGCGGCTGGTACCCTTAGGGACCACGGGCGGGTCAATGGGGAACGCAAAGTAGTTGAGCAGCTGTAGGTGCAGCGAGAGGAAGTAGTTGTGTCGCGCCTCGGTTATGACGGGCACAATCTGCGTCTGGAACGGCCTCGTCTCCCAGTCATCCGCCAACGGGACACGGAGCACACCGGCATCGTTGGCCGCCTCCCAAACCGGGTGGCTGGTGATGGTACGGAAGAAGAGCTTCAGGAGGTCCTGGAGACGCTGTTGGGCTGGGGCTGTCTTGCCGCTCTTCAACAGGCCATAGCCGGAGCGGATAGCGGCGAGCGTGGGGAAAGACGGCGATGCCGTGAAGAATAGAGGCCGTGCATGGTTGACCAGCATGGTGCGGACTGTCTTGTTGGACAGAATGACGCCTGTGTGTCGCTGTTAGATAATTCTTCTATATGTAAAGTCAATGGATATGATGATAAAGCTTACCGCCTGAGGAAGCCAAGGCTTTGGAAAAGGTATGCAGCCGGATGGCGATATCGTTCTGCAGCCCGAGCATACCAACCAGGCCGATGCCCTTGTCGCCGACGATGCCTGTGCTGTGGGCCTCATCAACGACAAACTGGGCATTGCCTTTCGGGAAGAGCTCCTTGACGATGTCCACCATCTCGGCAAGAGGGCAGACGTCGCCGTCCATGCTGTAGATGGTCTCCACAGCGATGATGATGCAGCGCTGGCCGCGCTCGATCATGGGCTGGGAGTCACGGACGGCTTCAAGGGTGTCGCGGAACGAGTCCACGTCGTTATGGCGGAACGAAGTCCGGCTGAGGGCACTGCTGCGCGACATGCCCTCGTGGACGCTGGCGTGGACCAGCTCGTCATAGACAACGGCGTCACCAGGCCGCGGAATGGTTGAGAAGATGGCGCAGTTACCCTCAAAGCCAGAGTTGACGACAAGGGCCGACTCGGCGCCGTGGAAGGCAGCGATCTCTCGCTCGACGAGCTCAATGTAGTCATTGTTACCGTCTAGCAGCCGGGAGCCAGTGCTGCCCAGCTTGAAACCCGGGTGACGCGCCAGCTCCTCGAAAAATGCGGTTCGCAGCATACCGCTGGCTGCGAGTGAGATGAAGTCGTTGGACGAAAAGTCAACTTGATTGTGCCGCTTGCGGAGCGTGATGAGGTTGTGTTCCGTCCGCCGCATGTCGAGAGTCTCCTCAAGGTTGCGCTGGAAGACAGGCGCATCCTTCATTCGAGGGCCCTGGAGCTCCTGCGCCTGAACCCATTCAGCCAAGTGAGGAAGTGTAGTAGCCATCTTTTCTGAGATTTGAGGGCTTCTGAGAAATTTAGAGCCAACAAACACGAGTAAGTCAAATGACAGAGATGTTGGGTCGGACTTTGAACTGCGAAAGTTGATTCTGAGCACCTGCAGAAGAACACTCAAGAAGAAAACGACCTGTGGTAGGTAGACGAAGAAAGAAGACAAGGGATTGAGCTTGAATGCCGTGTTGTGATAATGGAGCTGAGGAGGTTTAGTAAAGCGAACCACAAAACATTTATCAATGTTGGTGAATGCATCATATCGCAAAGTACGAACTGGTTTCGAGAAGGACCTATCACATAGTGTCACCTCCTAGTCCCAGGGCAATCACACACATTTCGGTCGGGATCTGCCAAGTCCATCATTGGGAGGGCTGAAGGGGTTGCCACCAGGACCTGCAACGCTCATGTAGCAAGGTTGTTATTTAGACCGGGGCCCGACTCGGGCGGCGGAACCCGGTATGGGTGTACAGCTCGGGTGTAGTACTCTATGGTCAGACTTTAGCCGCCAGATAGGGTCCGACGTAGCATTGAGTCTTACCGACAAGGCTGCTGTGCCGCCTTGGGCTTGCATGGCTGAAAATGCTTGGCTACTGTGATTTCGAAAAGGCTGAGTAAGTTCTTAGAGAAGAGAACCCAGAGTTACATGGTACGAGACCAAAAGTAGAGATGTGCATATCAAATGGCATTGACTAAGAACGGGGTGATGAGCTCAAAAAAGACTATACCAGACTACTTAGGATTGGTTCGATCTCATACTCAATTAGCGATGTATCTAAAGATCTGGTGAGCAGGTCGATTTACATTTTCTATAACGCCGCCGATCTGGAAAGATGATAAAGTTTAAAATCTCTTTCATTGAAGAATAAAAAAAGCCTCTATAAGAGCTCGAATGTTCATAATTTCAACCAAAGGGGGTTACGATGTAATATTCAGGTTCAGTTTTTACATGCATTTTCTCCCGGCTCACATTACTTGTTTGTTTGTGTCAAGCTGTGCATCACCATCTCTACACATCCATGAAAAGCTACTTCTAGCAAGCTTTTGTTCTAGTTAATGCTACTTTAGGATGGTGAATTATAGATGAACATACCCCACCATCCTCCCAAAAACATAGAAAAGCTACCAGTGAAACACAATGCCAAAGCTCTCCAATCTTTACCTTCCATCAACACAGGGTGCATATCACAAATGTTGTTCCGGTTAGTCTCACTCCACATGTTCACTCTTGGCAACCTTTCCGACCTCCCGGAACTCGGCAAACTGCGGTGTAACGTTCAAAGACTTTGGTCCCCTGTAGATGGTCCCCATCGTGCGGTCCCAGAATGTGAACCAGAGCGCGTAATTGGACTAAATTAGAACCCCCGTCAGCTTACACAAGAACTTGAGAGAAAGTGATGTGACCGAAAGTGTCGTTTTCGATATGAACTGACCTTGATTCCCCATGACTGGTGGTGCACTGTGTGGTAAACAATATCGCTGCCCGTTATTCCCCCGAAAAGGATGATAGGGTCCCAAGGGAAGCGGTAGCCGGAATGGTCGTCAAGTGTCTTGAGCACACTGAGCGTGAAAACGGCCACGCGCTCCCATGCAGTGAGACCAACGACTACGCACGTCAGGCCGGGGCCGAGAGCGTCGAGAAGAAAACTCTCAAACGGGTGTACATAAGTCGCCGCGTATGACCATGGGGCGTTTAGGAGATGGTGCCACAAATGAATCTTCTCTGAAATCATGATTCTCGGGTTAGTTTCTATCGTTTATTCAACGAGAGGAAAGGAAATTAAAAAATAGGGGGAGCAAGTAGACAACACCACTGACTGTATGCCCATTTCATATGCAATGCAAGATGCACCCAGAATTGCCAAGTATCGTACACAAACATGGCCGCAAAGATGCGCGCCACGGTTACGAGGGAGTAAGCGAGCGAGGTGAGAATGGGCGACTGAACGATGGCCTTGGTGTCCTCGATGCCCCTTATGGCCTCCTGAGTGATGCCAAATGGGTCGCCAGGCTTTTGGCTGTTGAGTTCCGGCTCAAGGGCAAGACCAATCCAGCCGACGGCGATGATGATGCCCTGATTCACCAGTACGCCGCGCACAACCTCAAGTTTAGTAACTTTGTTTTTGGTAAACTCATCGGGCTGTAACAGCCGGTACCGCTGGAACAGCCCAAAGGCGTCGAAAGACTCGTACATGAGTGCCACCACCCAGTGAACCGCGAGTGGGACAATGATAGAGAATTCCGCTGGGCCCCATGTTCGCGGGTTCAGGCTGGGGAGATTTTGGTAGAAGCTGTGTAGAATTTCCATCTTTTCGTGAATAGGCTTAAGAGAGAGGGCTTTCTGATGGCTAGAAATTAATGGTGAGTTGAGGTTATGTCAGGGAATTGGTTTGGGCAAGTCATTAAACAGTGAGGAAACAGAAAATGCTCACAAGAAAAAGGGGAGAGAGAAAACAAAAAGCCGCCTGAGTCCGTTGCGGCTTACACTTGATACCGTCAACGTCCCGGGGCCCGGCCCGTTTCTTCATGCATGATTAGATGCGGATTGTAATACGGTCAGGGTCCCCCACGGCCGGTCCACGGGCGAATCGATAACTACAAATCCTTCGTCAGGCGATAATGTAGCGATATAGTCGTCTTATTTTCTCACCTCACCCCAAATATGATTTATTTGGGTTACCAAACTACAGTACTCGCGAGGGTGTGTAAGACGGTATCCGGATTCCGGACTCCAGACCCGTGGTCGGGGTTAGGGTTACACGACATCCCCTCATGTCCTTGCGTAAGATGCTACCCTTGGCTAATGCAGAAGCGGGATCAATTTAACCCTGTAAGAGTCACATCAGGCAACGAGCGGTATTCCATGGACCCCTAGAGGGGGCGGGGTACTGGCTTTTGAACGTGGCCGCCAGTTCCTTTGCCATTGGCACCGCTCGCCTGATCTCTAGGTTAGTCTCCATTTGCAAGCCATAGATAACGACGAGTGTGTTCATCTGTAGGCCCGTTTCCATGATATTGTAGATTATAGTTACTTGTTTGCGAGAAAGGTTTCTTTCTTGGGTGTTACCGTGGTCCATATTCTTTGTCTTTTTCCATCTTGTCACTTCCCATCATGACACGCAACCAAACCACATTCGACTATGAGGCTTTCCTCACGCCCCCAAAACATGGAATTGAATCGCCCCAGCCGCCGCGTACGCTCTTGGGCATGGACGACGCGCGCGCCTCTGTCGTTGTCCCGTTGCTGGCCTACTGGGTTGTGTCAATCTTCTATGAGACGGCGCACTACAGCGGCTGGTTCGACAAATACCGCGTCTACCCAACTGGCGAAGAGAAGCGGCGCAACCTCGTAACGCGCTGGGAGACGCTTCGCGTCGTAATTGTCATGCACGTCGTGCAACTCGTCTTTGGGCTCGTTATGGCGAGCATCCTCGAGCCTGCCGACGGCGCTGTGGCGGGGGTTTCAGTATGGGGCCAGTTCGGCAGCGCTGAGTTCTTCGGGCTGGAGATCAAGAGGCGCCTCCCGAATGTAGCTTCAGTCTTGAGACCAGAGGCGCTGTGGATGATTTCTCACAGCTTTCGGTGGGCTTGGCTGGGCCTCCGCCAGCTCATAGCCTTCTTCTTGTTTGACACTTGGGCGTACTGGGTGCACTACTTTGAGCATATGATTCCGTTCCTCTACCGTAGGTCAAGCCTGTAATATTGGACAGTTCCCTCAGCCGAACGGGCTTCTTGGGGAATGGCTCGACCGTTGACTGATTCCTTGGGCCCCTACAGGTCGCATTCACTCCGTCCACCACTACAACTACATTCCCTATAGCTACGCCGCATCCTACAACCACCCGATTGAGGGATTTTTCAATGACATACTCGGCTCTTATCTTTCCAGCCGGCTAGTAGGTCTCAGCGACCGCGAGGCTATGGTATTCTTCGCAACGGCGAGCGTCAAGGCTGTAGATGACCACGCCAGTCTGGAGCTGCCGTGGAACCCTCTCAATCTTTGGGGCTATATCTTTGGCAACGGCATGGTCCACCATAACATTCACCACCAAGTATGGGGCCTCAAGGTAAGAAAACTATCGTGCCGTTCTTCTATTTCGACACTTTTGTCTTTGTACTTCTCCATTAGAATCTTCATTGTATTTGAGACTGACAAGCGCTGGTTCTACTATGGCTTTTGCAGACCAACTATGGCCTTTACTTCACCTTCTGGGACCGAGTGAACAACACCATCTACAAAGGCAGCAGGCGGCTGTCTGAGGCAAAGGAGAAGTGGGCGGCACAGCATAAGGAGGAGACTGAAAAGAAGGACAATTAGTTAATGATGCTAAAATTGACGAGTTGTGCTGTGGTGACACCGGCTTAAACGGATGTTTGCTGCAAGTCACGTAGGTCTACAATGGCGCATCAGGCTTCAAGTTGAATCAGGGATATTAACGATCGAAATGTTGGATACTATCATTCATGAATGTCATTCATAGGCGCAGATTATTCTTCGCAAGTTTTTAACCGGATAGAGCACAGTACTCAACTCTCTTATAGATCGCACGAACGTTTAGATGAATATGAATTACAGTGCTATGCAGGGCATTCGGGACAAATCCTATGTAAGAAACATGAGAAGAAGCTCGCCTTGGAAGTCTGTTATATTCCTAGTGTACAAAAGAAGCCTACCAGTCCACTCAGGGCACTAGGTGAAACTTCATGACCGCTCTATCAAACATCAACATCGAGGCTCTCGGCCTCGCACAGCCTCTTGTAAATACCGCCCAGAGCAATAAGCTCATCATGTGTGCCCTGTTCCACCACCCTGCCGCCACTGAAGACGTAAATACGGTCTGCGTCCTTAATAGTGCTCAAGCGGTGGGCGACGGCCACCGTGATCCTGCCGCGACCCGAGGTATCCGCTTCATCGCCACTAGCAGCGCGGCGACCCAGAGCACCCTGCACCACTCTCTCTGACGCCGTGTCCAAGGCTGACGTCGCCTCATCGAGGAGCAGCAGTCTAGGGTTCCGGATCAGCGCCCGTGCGATGGCAATGCGCTGTCTCTGCCCACCCGACAGCTGCGATCCGTTGGTGCCGCAGGGCGTTTCCGTGCCTTGGGGCAGCGAAATTACAAAGTCCCAGGCATTCGCCGCCCGGAGCGCGGCCTCCAACCTCTTCTCGTCGACATCGGATCTTGATGTTTCCGCCTTCAGAGGCAGGCCCAGCATCACGTTCTCCCGAATGGTGCTCGGGTAAAGAGTCGCCTCCTGTTGCACGAGGGCCACGCTCGCTCGGTAAGCCTCTGGGTTGATCTCAACCAGGTCCTGGTCGTCAATCCAGACACTTCCTGAGACAGGGTCGTAGAAACGCTCCAGCAGCGCGATGGCTGTGCTTTTCCCACACCCAGATGGACCGACCAGGGCCACAAATTCTCCAGAAGAGGCGACGATCTCGGCGCCGCGGAGAACGCGAACATCCGGACGAGCCGGGTAGCTAAACTCGACGTTGTCAAGATGGACACGATCTACGTCACGGGCGGGCGTGATCGATTTGTTCTGGGGCGTCTCCTCCACCGACCGTTCCAGAGATCTCACCCACAAGTAGTAATCGGCGGCGGACTTTCCTTGGGTGATGCCTGAAAACAACCAGAGTGTTAAAAAGACAGAATGTGTTTTGGTCTGCGTATTAGACTTACTGCTCGTATATGTGAACATGGTGCCGGCGTTTTGTCCGGCGTAAAAGATGCCCATGAAGGACACGAAAAATTGGTACAGCGATATCTCACCGTTCCTCAACAGCGTACACCCCCACCAGAATCCCAAGCCGAGCACAAAGTACTCGACGGCTTGCGTGAAGGAGAACCACAACATGGCGTGCAGCAATGGGCGGACTGACGTCTTGGTCGCCGCGTCGAGCTCGTCGGTGTATCTCCGCAAGACGACCCGCTCGATGGCGAGGCTGGACACCGTCCGGATTGCCAGGATGGCCTCGGAAGCAATGGCCGCGCTCGCAGAGAAGCGTCTTTCGTTGTTCCCATCCATCTTGAGCTGCAGCCGGATCCGCGCGAGTCCGGCAGCCAGCAGTGGGGAGAGCCCAGCGAACACACCAACAAGCCCGAGCTTCCACGACGTGGCTATCGAGAGGCAGCTGCAGGCCAATATCGTCATTATCGTCAGAAGGATGAGGACGATGTTGATACTCATCAGCTCGATCATGGCCTATGACGCACAGTTGAATTAGCAACCGTAATCGATGGTGAAAGAAAATTGCAAGCCCTCAAATACCAGACTCACCTGAGCTGTGGAGTCGAGGCGACCGGTCAAGGCTCCGACGTTGTTTTCCAGAAGATCGAAAAACTTGACATCCTGCTTTAAGACGTTGTTAAGAAGATTCCGCCGGAACTTGTGGTTCATTGCCTGAGCCGCCGAGTTGGCAATCCATCCCGTCACAAAGTAGATGAACATGGCCGCGAGGCCCATGATGAAGAACATGAGCGAATAAAAGTTCCCTCGGTCACGCATTCGGTCAGGGGGGAGGTTAAAAACATCCATTATCTTCCCCATTAGGAGAGCTTGTCCAGGGAGCGCGGCGGCTTTGTGCTTGCAGATTAGTAAATGATGGAAGGTTATGTTATGATGGTGAAAGTCAATAAACATGATACTCACATCCAATCAAGCATCCGATAAAGATGGAAATGAAATACCACTTGAGCTCCGGACTCTCGCGGATGAGCTCCCAGACGTCTCCGAGTATGTTCTTGCGATTCGCTGCTTCGAAATTGTACTGTGCTACTGCTGAGGCGTGTGCTGGTTGGGGATTTTGCCCAGAATCCTGTTTCTCTCCCATGGTCCTATACCCCTCTTTCACGACTCCTTTCTCATGAATCGTATTCTCAGACTCGGTGGAGACGTCTTTCATTTTTTGAATCTCGTTATCGCCTGCCGTCAGCTTCTGAGCCCGCACCATGCGCGCGTAAGCGCCACCAGCGGCCATCAAGACCTCATGGGTACCCTGCTCGACTATGGCTCCCTTGGCCAAGACGACGATATTATCAGCCCGCCTGACAGTTGCCAGCTTGTGCGCGATTACGATAGTCGTTCTTTGCTTGGAAGCGTTGTCGAGGGCCTGCTGCACAACGCCCTCGGATCGCGGATCGAGCGCGCTGGTGGCCTCGTCAAGGAGGAGAACACGCGGCTCCGAAACAATGCTCCGCGCGATGGCGATCCGCTGCTTCTGTCCACCGGAGAGTTGTCCGCCACGCTCTCCGATGACGGTGTCGTAGCCATTCGGGAGCTTTGTGGTGATGAAGTCATGGGCGTATGCGAGCTCGGCTGCGCGGGTGACGCGCTCACGCTGATCAGTCAGAGATGCATTCTCCCAGGGAGTGCCGACAAGGCCGTGAGCTATGTTCTCAAAAATAGTGCCGCTGAAGAGAACAGGTTCCTGCTGTACCAGACGCACATGTGTTCGGAGCCAGTTCGGATTCAGTTCCTCGATCCGCGTTCCATCCAGCCTTATGCTGCCCGAGTTGGGACTGTACCATCGTTCAACGAGACCGATTATGGTGCTCTTCCCGGAACCGCTGGCGCCCTGCATCACGTCTTGTCAGGCTATGGGGGTTCCAAAATGGCAGCAATTGGCTGGGGCTCTGCACTTACCACAAGAGCCGTCACCTTTCCAGCCGGGATGTTCAGCGAGAATCGGTCCAGAACGGTGACTCCCGGACGAGCCGGGTAACTGAAGGTAATGTTTTCGATCTCGAGCTCGCCACGAACGGTTTCTTCAGGAGGTTTCAGGCCCCCTTCGTCGAACGGATCTATGTCGGAATTGCGATCGATGAGGACGAAAAGCTGGGCAGCCGCCGTGGCAGCCTTCTGAAAGGAAATCATGTACGGGGCAACAACAGTCACTGTCAAACTGGCAGTGAGAACAGACATGATGACACTTTTTACATGCGAAATGTGGTCAGCAAATGCAGCTTTTTGGGGGGCGGATCAAGAGTGCTTAACTCGAGAGTAAAACAACATACGTAAAAACGGTGCCCATGTCGTCGACCTCTCCACGCGCTATCATCTGAATTCCCTGCCAGAAAGCGAGCCCCATGCCGGAATAGACGATGAAGTACTCGAGGCTGAAGAGAACTCCGTAGAGGGGGCTTTTGCGCATGCCTAGTGCTTTGGCCTTGTCGAGGTAGGTCACGAAATGGTCCATGAGACGAGGCCGTATGCCGAAGGCGTGAACGGTCCGGATGGTGACGAGGACATTTTCTGCAAAGGAACCAGCCTGCGCAAAGACTTCCAGCTGGCTCACCTCGATTCTGGACTCGAGGGTGGCGCACGTACCCAGGAGGACAACCAAGGTAGGAGCGATACCGATGAGGATCAGCGTGAGCTTCCACTGAGAGGCAAAGGCGATGGCAAATGCGGCGACAGCGGTCGCTGCGGCCTGGAAGCAGACCATGAGTTTCTCAGACACGCCGGACTGAACCAAGTTGCCGTTGGTCGTGGCTTGCATGGCAACGGAGCTGAGCTCCCGGTCGAAGAAGGCTACCGGCTGACGCAGGGCAGCGCGCAAAAATTCGGCGCGGAGGTTGCGGACGGCGTGGTATGCGGTATGGGTCGAGAGAACCGTGTAGATGTAGACGCAGGCCCAGCGGGCGAGACCGATGTAGACGAGTTGAAGGCAGAGGGTCGATACGCGCGGGAGGAAGTCATCGCGGTCCAGAGCCCCAGAAGTGAAGTCCAGAATAACTCTGATTAGCTGACCCATGACAAGATTTACCAGAGCTAGTGCAGTGCCTGAACCGAATGCCGCCGCGACAGCGATGGCATTGAGGGCCATCTCGGTTCGGCGCAGGTAGGAAAAGACGCGCTGCGCGAGAGAGTCAATATTGCGACAGAAGCCTGGGACCGTTTGAAAGACGACTGCTTGTCTAGTTCACATACTATGTACGCTTTCATTGGTGGCATCGTTTCCGGTTCCTGCTTGTTCGGGCTTGGAGACGGCGTCGAGGGATCATTGCGATGCGCTGGCCCCGGCCCGGACTCTGTTGTCGTCGTTCCCATCGCAAGTTGATCGTCGCTGATTGCGACCTACTGTCTGGGATGAGAAATGCCCCTTTCAAGTCGCGACGTCCTGATGTGATGTCAGATGAGTTCGTATATTTGATAGAGGGCAAACGGAGAGACAGACATTGATGAAGCTGATGCGAATGATCGGGCTGGGCTCACAGATATTCCGGTCCAGATGGATCTCTCCCGAAATTAGCGACATGGGCGAGTTGTAGGAGGATGACAGTAAGCTTGCATATGTGAGCCTGGAAATTCTTGTTGGTTCGAAAAGTTGGAGGGCGTCCACTAACAATAGCAAGACTTCTGGAATCCGGGCCCCGGGTTCCGGAGGAAGCCCCACCCCAAAATGATATGAATAGATTATTTATTAACTATGCCAATTATGCCGCCCGACTCAGTATCTGATATCAATGCAATTGCTATCCTTTTAGATTAGAAGATATAGGATAAATTTACGAACAGTCATGCCAATAGCCACCATAACGTGCCAAGCTGAAAATGCCTTGGCGAGCGCGCCTAACCCAGGTTACATAGCATAGTAGATATCCAGGTACTTGACAGGAATTCGGTGGTAAGCTAAGGCATTGAAGAACAGGTACTATGTCATGCCAACGGCTTAAAAATAACCGCGCAGCCTCGTGGTTTCTATTTCTAGACTTCTCTACCCGATACGCCCGTAAGTAAGACATCTTCGCCCAAGCTTAGAGACTCTCATCGCACATGGAGTCATTGGCAGATTCATCCTCCTTTTTCGCCTTGGCAAGTGCCACTACATCAACCCAGTTGGGCGGTAGACACTGCAAATCTGCGCCAACTTCCTCAGCATCCAGCCCGAACCGTAACAGGCTCTCCTCAGAGCACCACTCTCCCGTGCCCATCAAACCGACGGGAATCTTTCCGGGCGTGTCCTCATCAGCAACATCGGTTTCCTCCTCCTTGCTGCCAGGTGCGGCAAAGCCAGCCGGAACACTGATGCTAGGGACGCCGCAAAGGTTGGCCAGCCAGACGTACTCCATCGACTTCATGGTCTGGTCGCCGTCGCTCACGCCATAGACGAGCTCGCGCTCGCTGCGGATAGGCCAACCTGCGCAGGCAGACGCCGGCGTCACTAGAATCATTCCTGGGTGCTGCTGCCAGAGCCACGCGAGGTGCCGCATGAGAACGTGCCGCAGCCGCTGCGCAAGCTGGTAGTCCGATGCTGGCGTCGTACGCCCGAGCGCCAGTAGGATCCGGTTCGCTGGCGACAGTCCCGCCGTGTCCCTCACGAGCGCCGCCGCATCCGTCAATAGCGTGACTGCGTGCGCCACTTGGCCCTCGTGCGTGAAGGGTATTTCAACCGGCACGACGCGGTAGCCCTTGCGCTTCACCAGCCTGTCGATGAGACTCCGACAAAGCTTCTGGACCACAGGACTGGCCTGCGCAAACCACGATTCGGGGACTCCGATGACCTTTGGTCGAGTGGCATCGTCGATTTCAAGGGTTCTTCGACGCGGCGTGGTTGCGCATCTGGGGAAGGAGTAGGGCGATCGAGGGTGTGGTCTGCTCATCGCGTCGTAAAGAGCAATGAGGGATCGCATGTCGCCAGCCATGGGACCGTTGACTGCGGCATTGTTGCTGTGGTTTTGGCCGGGTAGAAAGGAGAGTCGACCATGCGTTGGTTTGAGTCCAAAGATGGAGTTGAAAGATGCGGGGATTCGAATACTCCCACCTCCATCGCTACCCAGTGTGATGGGTAGGAGCCCGGTGGCGACGGCATATGCAGATCCCGAAGAGCTTCCACCTGGGTAGTACGACGGATTGTATGGATTTCTCGGCGTCCCATATGTGATGTTGTAGCCGGCAGTGTCTGGAGCACTGCAGGTCAGCTATAAGTGTTCCCATCAAGGAAAATAAGTATGTGCCTCGACCGACAAAACTCACCCATGCCGAATTCATGTAAAGAAAGCTTGCCCAGAACGATAGCTCCTGCGTCAATCACCTGTCTCACACACCAAGATGTTTTGTCGCCATGATCTTCGCCTTCTGCCCGTGGCACATGGAGTGCGGTGTAGTCATTCGGAGACCCCAGGGTCGTTTTGTAGCCTTCCATATCGTATTCGTCCTTGACCGCTGTTGGGATGCCGTCGAGCGGACCCAGAGATTTCTTTTCTTTGTACCTAAGCGTGGAGGCTGTCGCCGCCGCAAGCACCGACTCGGCGTTGACCTCGAACCATGCCACAGAGTGCTCGCCTGGCGGCGACGTATCGCGCCTGATGAAAGGTAGGATAGCCCGGGCTACGTCAAGCGGTGTCAGCTCACCCGAGAGATACAACGACCGGTAGAGTGCGACTGTGTTTTGTCCTCCTCCAGACGGAACCCCATGAGGGACAGATGACTCATCGTCGTCTCCGTGCTGCCGAGACGCAGGGCTCTTCAATCGAATATCTGAAGCGACGGAATCGTCTTCAAAGGGAAACACGGTGGGATCATAGCGGGGTTCGGTCAAGGCGATGTGGTCCCAGATTGCACGCAGACATCCGAATCCAGCATTTTCCCAAGCCTTTGTACGGATAAAGCCAAATCGTTCAATACTTTGATGCAAATATCAGTACTCTTCCTCAGTACACAGCAAAATTCAAGGCGGAAATCAAGCATACAGAAAGGCTGCCGCCAAGAGTAACCATCCATAGATTCGTGGGTTTGGCTTCCTTTGCGGGCCGGGAGGGGCTTCGAGACTGGTCTTATTGTCAGCGCGAAAATCTTGCTCGGTAAATTGTACCTGGCTTGACACGTCTTACGCGCGAACGGGTTCCGGGTAGAGGAAGAGGCGCTTTTGGGGGCCTGGCGCAGCCATCATGGCTGACTATGGCTGTGTGGTCAGGCTTGAGGCGATCAGGGTGGGAAACGCAAGGTTTTGTTGCCGGAAGTGGATTAGAAAAAATTCAGATTATGGGTAATGCTTTGTAGCCAAGGGGGAAATAAAATTGGGCTGCTCCCTTTGTGATTGTGTATTGTGTGTTTGTTTTGTTTGTTGTGTTTGTTGGCTGTTGGCTGTTTGGCGTGCAGGCGTAGTACTTGGCGCTGCTTACGCGGGCCGGAGGTCCCATCCATTAACCCCCAGTAAGTCACGTGCCCTGGCCTGCAGTAAGAGGCTTCCCGGAAACTCAATACGCAGGGTGAAATTTGTCAAGGTTCCAATTCATTCACTTTTTCCACCAAGAGCTTTGTACTGGTAGTTTCTCAATGACCGGGCTTATCATCGGAGCAGCTCCTCAAATGTGTGGGGCCGGGTGGGACCCGTGCTGGGTTCCGGATCCCGGGCTCCGGTGATCACCTCCATGACATCGGATGTCATGCAAATTGTAGATAACATAGAAAACCCAACATTTCTTTCCACTTCTTCACTGTTTGGTCCTATTAGTAGCGTTGTTCCGGCAATTCCAATTCTAGGAAATACAGATAAACAGCAACATGTTGACCCCATCACGATCGTCGAAGATGGAAAACCTCAGGGGCAGAGTAAGCATATTCAGCACTAAAATATCACTATTACTTCTCTTACCTCACGTCTAACTTCTTCGGTCCCTTTCAACTAAGAAAACCGTGAATAACTAGGTAGTTTTCGTTGCCGGTGGCTCGACCGGACTTGGCAAGGCTATCGCCATAAGCTTGGCTGCCAGAGGTGAGCTTGTTTCCCAATGGCATTAGAGCATAAATCAAACTCAGCTACTGATATGAAAACTGTTTCACTATTCAGGAGCCGATGTCACCGTCTTTGCTCGGAGGCAGGTAGAGCTCGACAAGGCACGCGTCGAGATCATCGAAGCCACCATCTTTCCGGACCAAGAGATCCGCGCTGTATCACTGGACTTATCAGATGCATCCCAAGTAAGTGTTCCACAAACTCTTCTAATGAGCGGTTTGATCTCATAACAATGATATTTGTAGTGCGAGCGCATTTTTGAAGCCCAACCGCGACTCCCCGACGCCCTATACTGCGTCGCTGGTGGCTGCGTCTCCGAGCTGGGTTTCTTCACTGACGTTCCCGCTGCGGCTATTGACAGCTGTATGAGAAAGAATTACCTCACCAGCGCATATCCGTCCCACGCACTGCTCCGGCTTTGGACGCGTGACGACCGCCGTCAGAATACTTCCTCATTAGCGGCGACTACAGTGCCAAAGCCGAATCCGAAGCTGCGGCAAATTATTTTCATCAGCAGTGCTGCCGCATTCGCAAACGTTCCTGGCTATGTAGCGTACACACGTGAGTAACATTTTGACATTTTTCTCCTTAGCTTATACTACTCTACATCATTTTTCCACTAAAATATCCGCGCTAAAATACCCACCCCCACAGCCGCAAAATGCGCTCAGCGCGCTCTCGCGGACACGCTCCGACAAGAGACAGCCATCTACTCGAACGCGGCTTCCCAGTACACGATACACTGCGCCTTTCCAGGAACGGTACTCACCGACACATTCTTCGAGGAACAGAAGAACAAGCCGACAATTACCAAGCGGATGGAGTCGACCGACGGCGCTGAGGACAAGCTAAGAGCCAAATACCCGTCGGCCCACGACGTAGCCGAGGCCATCGTGCATGGCACCGCGGATCGACAGGGAGGAGGTGATTTTTGCATTTGCACTGACTTCGACACTTCCGTATTATGGAGCAGCATGATCGGGCCTAGTCCCAAGAGAGGCTGGGGCATGTTGGATTCGTGTCTGGGGTTTATCTCGAGCTTCTTCGTGTGGCCCATCTTGTGGAGGTCATGGAAAGCTATGTGTACCGAAGTCGGTATATCTAGAGAAAAAGGAGAAAGCTCTAGTGAAAGTTCGGACATTTAGAAAACCCATCCAAGATGAAACTGACGAGTGGAAGTGTAAGTTGAATTCAATTTAAGCCTGATATTTAAGCTACTTTCTGCGTTTTCCGCGCTTCACGCGCCTCCCAAGTGTCTAGTATAGCAGTCCAATACTTCTCCTCATCCTCCCGAGCGTGATTACAGTGCCCGCTCCCTTTGAACCGAACCACCATGCTCTGGAGCCCCAGAAGCTCATCACTCTCCCGAGCATGATCATTGACGTCCTCCCACGCAATGAGGTCATCCGCCTCAGAAAATACATACGTCCGTGGTGCGTCTTTGACGTCCCACAGTGTCTCATCGTTCAGCGCCTTTCGTGTCTTTGAGATGACATTGTTCTCGGCCCCCATGAACACAGTGATTGTTCCGTAAACTATGCCCAATACTACAGTGCCAGCCGGGAGCCCTATGGCACGAACGGCTTTATTTGCGGGCAATGACCGCTTGAAGGCGGCGACATTGGACTTGAAACGAGGCTTGCCGGGCGTGCTATCGAAAACATAGGCACCTATGGGTAGTCGACAGCCTGTGGCAGATAGATATGCCTGGGCAAGGCAGACGGCCTTGTTCGAACCCCCCTCCGAAAATGCATGCAGGAGAATTGCAGGCTGCTTGGACTGGGCGGTATTATGTCTCCGAAGGAACTCGATAGCCGGCTTTAGCGCCGCAATCTTTTCTTTGGTAGAGCGGATGATAAGATCATGTATCACTGTCGTGATGATCATGATAGGGGTATCTGGATACACCTCATTATATCGTTTTGTGTACTTGGCAATGTGCCTTGGGTCTGCACCAGTCCATGAGGTGAGAAGAATGAGACCGGGGCTTTCTGCACTAGTGCTGTCCATAGAGGAGGTGGAGGAAGCTGATGAGGAGGGTTGTGAAGCTTCTTGATAATATATCGATGGCGCGAGGGCTTTGAAGCCTGGCAGTGCCCGACGCATTGAAGATTTACTCATGTTGATGAGTTTGACTTGTAAAGTTTATAAAATTTAAATGGGAGAACAGTATATGACAGGTTTAGACAAAATGTAAAAAAGTCTTTTCTGTTGGATATCCTTGACTTAAAAGTCTGCGTGTTCGATATTCCTCAAGAGAGAAGCAAGACTCAGAGGAAGGGTTACCATGACCTTTTAAGTCAAACTTGAAACCAAATCGCTAAGGCCAGAGCAAAAGTAAAGATAACGGTGAACAGCAAAAGGGGCATCGCCACCACTTCCAGCCCACGATGGCCCTCAACAGTCAATATCAACATATTGCGCTGAAGATAGCACGGGAGCACTGACTTCCAGGGACTGACTCTAACGATCCCGAGAACCTGGACCCGGGTCAGCCACGCAGGACGCCAACTGGGTGCAGAGACGTGGCGCCTACGCTTATCCTAAGGATGGCAGTTAGTAGAAAACTCAGCTCAGCTTTGGTCGACCAACAAAGACTGCAGCCACTCGTACTCTACCCAATAGACGGCTGCCATGGGAACCACGTAGTAGTAAAAGCATGTTCTTCGCATAGGTTGTTAGCTAGGCATATAATGAGGCTCTGCTAGCCCCGACAGAAGCAAGCTAGTTTGAGAGGGGGGGAAGGGGCTCGGAAGGGATTGCGACGGTTGTCTGCTCGGTTCTCTATCTATCCACTAGTATCTAGGGGCTGAGGGGCTTGGGAATGACTTGTCTAATGTACAGCAAAGGTTGTCTTACATTGTTCGAGCCGTCTATTGTTTATGACAGGAACAGCATGGCGGGGAACCTTATTCGTAAGTTCTTGTGACGCCAAAAATCTTTAGCAGATGAAACTAACCGCATCCTACCTTATCTCATTGTTTGAAGTACACCCCTTCCTTTCACGTTTGGGCCTGCAGAGGGTACCGGCGATCTCTTTCGGAGTACAACGCCAACACATGAACCAGGGCGTTGCTTTCAGTGTATCTATCTCGTCGAGGACTGTTGCGCCACAGAAACATAATACGTGGACTTGTAGCCAATCAATAACGAATGTGTGATCTTTTCTCTTGCGGAATTTGGAAAAATATGGGTCCATTTGTGGCTTGCATTGTACCTGTATCACTCGGGTAATCTGGCCAATCCAACCCCAGCATTGACCTGCCCCAGTTTTGTTATTCTTCCAAGTCTGCAATGTGTTGTAGATGTTCGCTGTTAGTGAAGATGGCGTCTTCCTCTAAGTTCTCGGATAGCATATTCATATTGTAGTGCGTATAATCTACCCACTCGATCTCTTCTTAGTACCGCTTCCGGGACAAAAGTATCTTGTATGCACGCACTTTCACTATGGTCGGATTCAGGATGATTTACTCGTTTGAGAGCTCTTGTGGAAGGGAAAAAAATGGAGATCAGTCTCCCGAATTCTGTGACTATACGGTAAAGTACCACATCGTATGAGCGATATTTTGTCTCGCCCACGCGGCGCTGGAAGCAAAGCTAGATCAGTGACAAAGTTGGTTCCCATTGTTCGGGGAGAGCACGTACACGACTTCTACTCCCTGTTTTGCCTTTGTTAGTCTACAGGTATTGGGCAACAGGGAAATCACATGTGAATTTAAGCGGAATCGCCTCCTGAATCTAGAATTGCATTTTCATTTCACGGATGCATGATGAGGTCTCCCCTGGTTCTTAGCCGAGTCTGTTTCAGCCTCAACTCTTCAAGACCCGAGACATGCTGCTTTAACTTCCGGCCAGGCGCGAGCCGGCCGCTAGAGCTAGTGATTTAGGCTCCGGTAGTCAACTCCCGTCTGCTCTCATCTGCAAACCCATGGCGAAAAAGACCATTGTAGGGACGCTAAGAGAAGCGGATCTCTTGTGGCTCAAAAGGCCATGTGGCCGAGACCGTTCTCGTCAGTTTGTGGATCGGCAGTCTGGGCTATCATGGGATTCTGTTAGGGTCTGAGCCACCATTAGCCACGTTGGCCTAGATATGGAGATTGACAACATCTGAAAGGTATTGTCGATCCTTCTCATGGTTGATCATCTGAGAGATTTATCGATATATCATGGACCAACGTTGCACATATTGCAGCCCTACCCTCAATTTGTTTATAAATCTCCACTCAAGTTTGTGAATCTGGCTTCTCGTGATCTTGATACTATCACCGAAATTCACCTTCAGCCTGATCACCCATCTTTTTCAAACCGGTCTCATCATGTCAGATTCCCCATGCAAATCAACTACGGCGTCGACAGACTATGTCGTCTCACTACCTGTTTCCTCTGCACCGACCCTGAACGTAGATCAGACACAAGTACCAGAGCCGGAATGGACACCAGGTCGAGCAGAATATGCAGTTATGGCCACCATATCCATCATCTCTCTCATGGTGGCTTTGGATGCCACCATATTAGTCCCGGTGCTACCTGTAGGTCACCCTTGCTTTGCTTTTCTTTCACACATATCCTTCGCATCAACACTCTCTGGAGCAGCAAACTAATACGGACCGTGTTCTCTAGGAGCTGGCTCACGACCTAGACGGATCCGCCACCGACGCTTTCTGGGCCGGCACCTCATACCTTCTAAGTTGTGCCGTCTTCCAGCCTTTGATCGGTGCCCTCTCCGATATTTTCGGTCGCAAAGAGCTCCTTCTTGTCTCCCTTTTCTTCTTCACCCTCGGTACCCTGATCTGCGCCCCCATTGCCCATGACTTCACTGCCATGCTGGCCGGACGGTCGCTGCAGGGCATTGGTGGCGGCGGCATCATCACTATGGGTCAGATCATCTTCGCGGACATTGTCCCACTGAGATTGAGGCCCAAGTATTTCACTTTCGTGCTCGGCGCCTGGGCTCTTGGGAGCGTACTGGGTCCTTTGATTGGCGGGCTGTTTGGGCAACGCGCAACATGGAGGTGGTGCTTCTATATCAATGTGAGTAATGATTCTCTTTTTTGACCCGTCGACGTGGGTTCCCTCAATTTTTCTGACATCACTTCCCGCTTAATAGTTTCCCTTTTGCGCTCTCGGCTTCATCATGGTGCCGCTCTTTGTCCGCCTGTCCACGGAGAAAACTTCGCTTATCTCCAAGCTTCTCCGAATCGACGCGGTAGGCAGCCTTCTCTTCATCGGCGGCATGACCAGCTTTCTCATCGGCATCTCTTGGGCCGGCGTTCAGTTCGCCTGGTCCTCCGCAGCGACAATTGCACCCATCGTTGTCGGTGTCGTTGCCGTAATTGCTTCTCTGTTCTGGGAGAGATATGGCGCGGTAGAGCCCTTCTTGCGCCCTTCTCTCTTCTACTCCTGGTCCGCGGTGGCTGGCTACCTTTGCGCCTTTTGTCAGGGCTTCCTCCTCTTCTGCGGCCTGTACTACATTCCATTCTACTTCACCTCTATCCGCTCTGTAACGCCCACCCAGTCAGGCATCGACCTCCTACCAGTGACTTGCCTTCTCCTTCCCGGTTCGATTGTCGTCTCTGTGTTGACTTCTCGTCTCGGCCGTTTCCGCTGGGCCGTCTGGTCCGGTTGGGCCATCACTTCGGTAGGCTGCGGCTTGCTTTTGTTGATGGATGAGAACACAACGACCGCGCTGTGGGCTACTTACTTGGCTGTCTTCGGCATCGGAAATGGTATGGTGCTGACGAGCGTCAATGTCGCCACTCAGGCCATCAGCCGCGTCGAAGACTGCGGTCGCGCCGCGTGCATGTATGCCTTCATGCGCACGCTTGGCATGAGCGTCGGCGTTGCTGTCGGAGGTACTACTTTTCAGAATGTCATGGCAAATCGCCTTCGGGAGCTTAGTTTGCCGGAGAAGATCGCCTACAATGCTGAGGCGTTCGCACTCGAGTTGGCCGCCATGGCCTCTGAGGATCCGTTACGGGTCGGGGCGATGTCGGCTTACCTGAGGGGCTTTCGTGGGGTGTTCTGGGTTATGACAGCGACTGCTGTTTTTGGCTTTCTGACCAGCTTGGTGATTCGCAAGCACAGCATGGATAAGACGCTTCAGTCCAGATTTTCACTCCATGGGGCGATCAACAGAAAGTCAAATGTTCCGTCTGTGAAAAGTGACGCGACCGCGCAAGTTTGAGAACAAATTGTATTTGTTGGCAAGGATGTCAGAGCAGCATGTTGTTTTTAGTACATGTATTAACGAAAATATACCCATACCCGTCTGTCACACCCATATGATAACTGTTTAACATATCGGGCCTCTCTGATTGTTACGACCCGTTAGATACACCTAACAGGACCCACTCGGTTGGGCGGTTATGACAGGACTTTGTATGCAGGGCCACGGGAACAAAAGGTAACCTCTCGGAACGGAAGAACTATAGAACGGAACAAGTCACGTGATGAATCATTCTAGGTCAGAATGATCCAAGAAGAGTTGGGGGCCAACGGATCATGTTCGATCAATATGATCTCCAACGACTACAGACAATACGTGTAGATAGACTCCTATATAGACCAGGACTTGAGTACCTGCTCAAGCCCTCTAGATAGTTCTTCAGCAATCAACTTGTGATTCATCCTCGAATGACTTTCAGCTTACCTCTCAGTATTGTGAATACTAAGAACCTCGTTACCATAGTGTAAGACTGATCACCTTACCCTAACCCTACGATCTACCAGAACGACCTCTACGAACCAGTGTTAGTCTCTTACTGCACCTTCTGTTAGCAGAACCCTACTGTCAGATAGCTGGCCGTAACACTGATGTAGATGGCTTGAGATACCTGTAGCATTGCGTCCGCATACTACGAGACGTCTTCTACCTCTAGACGTCGCCCAGAAGCTGGGAAGGTATAAACGGTTCTTTTCTTTTTATTTTGATCTTCAATACCATTTCATTATTTATAATTCTTTCCGAGATAGAAATTGATCCACTTTCTATAGCGTTATCCACTACCTCGTAGCCTAACTTCCTTCCTTTTATTCAGAAGACACAACTTCCGTAACTTATTTAAGATCTACCTTTTGAAGCTACATTCTAAAAACCTTTATCCGCTACTATCGCTCGTGTCTATAATCTATGCAATATCCAATAGTTTTGCTACAAGACAGTTTGGTAAAAGCGTACAGGGCCACGTGATATTTTTAACTGCAATTACAATCCCTACATCGCCGATATTCATACGAAACAAGCATGTGCTGGACAGAATCAAATAAATAATAGGCAAATGTGCTGGTGATCTCTATTACTCTCTGTTTATATTACCAACGCCTTAAATCAACCTTTATAGTCTATTCCGGAAGGAAGCCGACTTTACATGATCCAACATATCTTAATTTTTAGGTTATCATTATCCCCAGCTATTCTTATGGATTTTTTCCATTGCAGCTTATCAAATTAATGCTTGATTCAACCATATATTATGAAACGTAGATAGGTAAAGGAACATTAAGAACTAATATGATTACCTGCGTTGAATCTTAGGCCAAAAAATTGCTTGATGTTTGTGAGTTATCTGAGAGGTTTTCTCGAAACAAGGCATCATATTCAACTATCCAACAACTCAAAAGCAAAAGCTTTTGGGCATCACACCGCCGTATTGACTCCTCAGAGATGTAGAGAGTCTTTCGGAGGAGGGAACAAGATTACAAGACTGTCAAGTTCAATGGCGGCAAAAGCCTTCTCAAATCATTCCCCACATAAAGGCAGTATGGATTTGATAACAAGAAATCTTAGTTTCGTCGGGCTGGTATAGGGGAAATAAGAACATTAATTGAAAGGGGCTACAGTTTTCCATGGATATATAATATCAGCCGAGTTCATAAAAGCTTACAAACGCACAAAGGAATTCTATACAGCCTGTGGCACTGCCAGCGGCGAAAACTTTCAGGGCCTTAACCAGTTGAAGTAAGAAATGGTAATTGTCATTGAAGCTGTTGAACGGTTACACATTCGTACAAAGATGCCACCATTGAAACAAAAGTTTTTTCCCCGCATACGTAATAGTGAATTGTGACTCAGGCCCAGCAGTAGTAAGAGCTTAGGACATCGTTGAAGTCGGCAGGAACCAAAGGATACGGACCCCAAAGGCTATAAACCTTCCCAGAACACGCCTCATCCCTAGCGAAACACCATGCCAATTAGGACATCTGTCAACAAGAAACTACCAGACGAATAGAAACGTACCTATAGAAGAAACATTGATGGTTCTGTGTGTCAATCGAGCTAACAACGTCATTCCAGTCTGCCGGTACTGCAGCTAAGAGCAAGCAGAGGAGGTCAGTATCAGCGATAAAACCGACAACATGCAATGATACAGGCGCGGAGAACGATAGGAAATCGAATAAAGTACTGACTGCAAACATAGGAGCTGAAGAAGAACTGCTGGCAATTTGAAAAGTTGGAGTCCTTGCAGAGCTTGATATTGCCATCGCGAGCGCGAAGCTCTCCATCTCGAGGCGACATTATGGGACTGGCAAGAGCCAACGTCGCAAATCCTGCAATTGAGATAATCTTAGCAGCGAACATGGCGTTGCAATTGGTCATGGCAATGGGTCGTTTTTCAAGGAACTGCTGGTGACATCGTGTTCGAAAGCGCTGCAATTGTGTCTGCCGAAGCTGACTTTATAATAACAGGTGGACTGATAACTGGCTGAAATACTATTTCCAGTAATCTTTCCCCGTACGCAAATACGTCTCATTTCTGAGTTGTGATTTGCTATAGTTGACTGGGGAGGATAACCTCGTGTATGTAGGTATAGGCGGAGAAAGTTACTCAAAATGAAGGATAACTTCTTTCGGAAGTTCTGCGAAACATGGGACTAGCTGAAGTCCATGACCTAAGCGGGAAGGATTTCCCAAGAAGGATAGCTAAGGTCACATCGCGTGTAAATGAGGCTGTGTGGCAGGATCAAGACTCCCTGTGTTAAGGGCATATGTCCCACATATATGTCCCGCTCCACAGAGCCGACACGGAGTAAAAGCCCACATACCCTAGCTTGCGCGTGACAAAAGAGTCCGCACTTTATAGTCTAGTACAATAAACTCATCAACACTCAGGACTTACTACGCCGTGAGCTGAGGTAATTGGAGGTATTGTCACCGAAACTGATGGCTGTATGAATGTGGGGATTCTTGTCACCCGCCTGGCTTAGGTAGCCTCCTTTCCACATCTCTAGGGGTTAACATCACAGACAATCATCCAACAATGCAATCACATCTAGGTCTTGTTTTTCTCGCATAATCCCTACCCAAGTGATCATACCGAATTTCTTTGGGGCTACTATTTTATAAGTAGTTGTATCCACCCCAGTTCCAGTAGAGAATGAGAACCACTATGAGGGTGGAAACATGATGTATTAGTGCATTGAATCATATCGAGTTGCTTCATATGACATTCGATTCTCAACCTAGAGACTTAGGTACTGAAGACTCGTCGAAAGCCGTATTAAGCACACCGTAAAAACAACCATCAAAGGCAAAATCATGCCTTTCCCGTTAACCATTAGAGCCGCTGGACTGATTGTCATTTGTAGTTGAGTTTGAATGTCTAGAATATCGTGTGCTCTCATATGAAGAAAACTTCCGTAAGCATTCCCATCAAGCAAGCCGAGCCACTGCAGATGTATGAGCCCATGGTCATTCCGATCAGCTTCTTTACGTAGCATCTAGCCCCTTGTAACATGTTTTCCAGCCTCCGCTATCTACCTGGGCTACCACAGCGGCCAGAACAAGCTAATCGTCTCTGTCGAGGAGTCGACAGGGGTTAAGGGTTGATGTGTCTTCGCAAATTGTCGTGGCAACTGCCATTTATGGTCGTAAAAATACATATTGAGGGAATTCAGGCCAATTTCTGATGAGAAATTTCTTTAGACAGCTTTAGAGAGTGCCTGCCCTATCGATTCTGGCTGGGCCATAAGGGCTTTCGTCAATGGCCGTTAATCCGAGCTATGATGTCTGTTTTTCTCGTTAAATCAGGGGCTGAGATTCACCATACATCTATTTTCTAAACAATCTAAGTATGCAAATTGTACTAAGAAGCTATGTCAACATGGAAAATTCCATCATCAAAACAGGAGATGCCTGGAGGTGAATCAGCAGCACTTAGATATCAGCTCAGCTTTAGAGAAAAAGACGTCACGATGGCTGTAGACATCCGGTTCCGCCGTGCCACACCTTGGCCGCGTGTTCACGTACGTACTTCGCTCTAGCGACCGTAGTCTCAAGCGTCCCTCGATCTGCTAATTCACAGAGAGATTACAAACCGGTTTGATCAGAGCTGATGCTGTCCGCACTGTGCTCAGTCACCACAAGAGGTGGGTGGATCTGAAACCGGCTTGTGGGCATTGGCAGTATTTGCATAAGTTGCCATGTTTCTGACCAGTTCCCGTTCATGAAGAGGAAATCCCACTAAAGGTAAACAGAACAAACAAGCAAATATCACAGCACTCTATAGTATCTCGAGAACTCATTCAAGTCAAAGATTTCCCTTTCCTACTGCAACATTATAAAAATCTACTTGGTATTTATCAAATTTGCCTATACGAAAGCTTATTAGAAACTTGTAACCTAATTAGAGACGGGTTCTAAATATATTTTCTATTAGATTAAGTCTAGGCTGAGATTGATAGGGCTTCATAAACCTTCATTAATAATTCTGAGACAGCGGCAGACGCAACACACCAGTCATACATACCATAAGATCAGAGTAGCTAGTCACTCTGAGAGATAAGTAAATAATACTCGAGCAATTTCTATTAGCTTAAACTTACCCCTTAGAAAGACTTAGGAAGATAGATAGTTTGTTAGATGAGCCTCTCAGACTCCGTTGGCGCAGGCGTGTGAAGGAGGAGCCCCATTGCTGTAAAGCTAAATAGATTATGCCTTAGACCATGGAAACTTACTCTTATAACTATATCTTCCACACAAAACTATATAGGTGATAGTCTTAAATCTTTGGAAGAGTCTTTATCAACAGTTTTCGTTTTCTTTCACCATTCTCTTAACAACCCCGACACCGTAAACAGTAGGTTCAACACCAAAACACTCCAATCCGCCTGCTAACAATAGTAGGCAAACCTCGACTTGTCTTAACTCTATACTATAACAAGATGAAGCTCTACATTGCGGCTGCATTGACACTTCAAACTATTAGCGTTGCTGCTCAGACAAACGCAATTTGTCAGGGTTTCGACGGCGCCACACCAGGAGACGCCCAATGGGCGGCTCTTAATAGGAAGGCTGACTTACATTTGGGTCCAAAAGGACTCTGGAACGGACGTATCGTAACCTGCAGGGACTACGGAGGGCGTGCCCGAACCGTCTTTGCCTTTTGTCGCTCGGATTCATATAGAGAATATACGACAAAGTTGGAGAGGGGTTTTGTAGCTTGTGGGTCGCCAGGTTGGAAAGGCTGTTTTGTCTGTTAGTTATGACTCATCGCAGAGAACGCAAGGAAATGCAGATAAGTTAGAATAATAAGTAAGGAGAATAATCCTTTATATTGATTAGGTCTTTAAACTGTGGGTAAATTGTTTGCTTGCCTTCAAGAGATAAGCCCACTATGTTAGTATAGTCTAAGCCAATTTTTAAAATATAGCCAAATCTAGCACAATCCATTAGGAGATTTAGTAAGTAAGCAACATAAGTTTTATTAATGTATAATGTGAAGTAACTGTTAATTATGTTCATGAGTAATCCTATCTTAAATCTATATTTTACTAATCTCAAAGCCTACGAACCGTGTTAAATAATGTAAAAGTTTTATTTAAGTACTATGAAGATGATTGTATTTAAACTTAAGATGCTAGGAACAAATACCGTCTTAGACATTGATTTAGTAAGCTAAACTACCTTACTATTTAAAGATATGTCAAATTCATCTTTGAATCCGACAAGCTTAATATTCAGAATAGAGAGCGCTCGCTCAGCGATTTCAGCAGTTCATATGGATTGTGTTAGGCGATCTTAGTTACAAGGTGCATCACTTATACACCACACATGTTCTCCAAGATAATTAAGGTATATGTGCTAGTAGTTGGGTCGTATCTATCATTGGGAATCTTGTCCGGAGACGTACAGCCGGGCGAAGCTGCGTGAGCAAATAACCATGTAAAGCCTGTAATTGTTTCCTGGCGCAAATGCGGCATCGAACATATCCGTAGGCCTCAGAAAGTTGAGAACGAAATTGTGATAACAAGTATAATGATTGAAGCGACAGTTATCATAATTATAGCAAAACTCGCACAGGCTGTAGAAGTCAGCGAACCCGGAACCACTGACGCAAGAATCTGACGTTAAAAGAGAAACAAAAGGTACTGTAGACGTAGGCTGGAGACTGTTGCAAACATCCTTTGGGCAATATCCGTGGTTTCACGCATACGAATATAAGTCACTGAACGTAGACTCACAGCTAACACCGGCGTAGCCCTTGATACCGGGCGTATTAGTGAGGGTAGGCTGTTTGCTCATTTTTGTATAAACACGGGTGGTTCTTGGACAGTATTCCAGAACACCTATGTACGTGCAAAGTACCTCAAGTAGGGAATCCCCCTATCATTGATGCAAATCAGTTCTTTGATGGGCGATAGCGTGACAGCTGACGCCGAGGCGGACTAGGCGCTCACGATGAATCCGTCTTGCCGGGCGGAAACCTCAGCAACCACTCTCCCGTCAGGCCAAATCTTTACCTGTATTGACCCAGTGTGTCTACTGATGAGGGGGATTTCCTGTAAATGGCCGCCTCCATCCTCCGGTCTCAACCTATGATACCAGGTGATGAAATATCGCCAATAATCAAATAAAGCGCATATGGTTAAGACCTAACGCAAGCAAAGCTAAGCTATACCTCCGTAGATAGCATGTCGACTCTGTTGTAGCCAGGAGGATAAAATTACTGTTTGCGCAAACGGCACCAAAGATAGAGACGGGCAGACCTGGACAACGCAAGCTAGTCTCTAGCACCAAAACACTAATTTCCTATAAGCATTGCTTAGGTGTGAAATGACAGTCATCGGTGTGTTCTATTCTCGCGAAGGGTGGTAGCGCAGGCCGCTGCCTCTAGCGCACGCGAGGCATAGATGTCGATGCGTTTTCCTTGAACGACTCGGTTTATACGTGGCAGGGGACCAAGGTCGCCAAGAGCGTATGGACCAAGTTTAACAACTCAACTTTAACAGCATCAAGTGCGATGGCAAGAGCATCGACGGTACCAACAACTCTTCATGTTACTAACTGGAACTGGGACATGATATGTTGATAGGCCGAGTCTCAAGACACACCCTGGTGCTTGTACTAGCTAGTGTAATCGCGACGGGAATTACAGCTTAGAAAAGGTTTACAACACAAATACGTATATACTGTAACTCTCAAACACCTAAAAGAAACTTATATAACAAATATAGCCCTTGAGGAGTTTCCACTTGAGCTTCGAAACGAATAGCGGCATTGATAATCAACTTACAATCAGGCCAGTCGCTATTATTGAATACAATGGGGCCTAAAGAAAGCCTAACCTTTGTTATCCATAACATAATCATATACTACCTTGTCCTGCCATAGCACTTCCGTTGTATTAGTCCCATTTATGACCTGCTTGTTTTCTTTATAGTAGCTGATTATGCTGTGCTCCCCCTCTTCCTCCTCCCCTTGGAGGAGAAGGCAGTAAGAAGCGTCCTTCGGGCCTAAGAAGTACTCCTAGATGCTCCCTTACCTGCGCCCCATTTCCTCCCTGTATCTGCCCCGGCCAGTGACAACTTCAACATCCACCTGTTCTCGCCTGAGTAGGCAAATATTGTTGTTGTTTTGAGTAGACCTCATCAGTCTTATAGACAGACAGGCGGTCAGGTACCTTGCAGATACAGGCACCAATGAGTCAGTGTACATGATAATCATACGTAGCTTGGGTTGAGCGGTATCCACAGTGCTGTTACTGTCCCCGTGGGGAAGTACCCTGCTCAACTTCGGGCTTACAGAGCCCCCCATTCCCATGATCTCCAGGACCGTTTAATTACTGCTGCCAATCTGCAACATCAATAGCAATGTAGATCATGAATTATAGCTGGCACAATAAACCCTGATATTGTCTGCACCTATTGTGCACCATTCCATCTTAGTTGTTGGGATAAACGCTAGTGCTCACACTTCGACAATGGTGTTGCCCTTGTAGTTTGTTAATATTGACGTGCTCGCGACGATAATAACCATAACAGCATCCCGGTCTACTCCGGTGGAGATAGATCCAGACCTGACGATTTGAGATTGCTTAGAACTGGCTGTGCGACTCTCTGCCGATGACCAGCAGCTTGAACCGGTTTACACTCGTCACAGCAATACCTCCGTGGCAGCCGAGACCTATAACAGATTTTGACTCAAGCCCACGGCCTCCTCTGTCAGTCTCAAACGCCTGGAGAGGGATCCTGGCGTCTCCCTCCAGCGACTTGGTGATCTGTGAACGTGACTCATGAGATCCAAATAGCCCCACACCTACTTCCAAGGTACTACCGGCCCGCTTTGGGCAACATCGTCTGAGCCGCCGCTCGGGATACAGTCCGCACAGTCCAACACTTCTCCGACTGGCTTATTGAGTTTCCCCTGTTGTGCCAGGATCAGGATCACAGGAATGCGAGAGAGTAAAGCCCTACGTAAATGTCGCCTAGTACGCAGAAGTCAAGGAGAATTAAATAAAGATGAGAAAGAAGTCGCCAGCGATGCGTCGGTGGTGCAGGGATACTAGCCGTGTCATTTTCCTTACGCAAGGGCGCCGGTCAACGCAGCGCGGGGGTTTGCAGCTTGATTGACGTCTGTCTAGGTAGTTGTAATCATCGCGAAACTTTGCCTGGCATGCCGCACTGCGTTAGAATTTACACAAGGAGGAGGGAGAGACTTAGCAGAGAGAGATTGCGCATCGCCGAGCTATTTATCTACAGCCTAGACGGAATCTTCCATAGCCTCTGGGGGCTGTGTTTTTTCTGCGGCTTCTCTCAAGGGTCCCGTCAGAGACGCTGAATCCCCGCGGCGTTAATGTGGCCGATAACGTAATCTTACAGATTGCGCATCTGTCCAACTAAGACGCTGGGCTTTGAACCGTGTTCCTAACCTAGGACAAAAGAAGGCGAGGCTTCTGTCTTACGGACTCGGTTCCAAGTCTTAAGCCTGGAGACAAGGGTTGCTCTAGAATTGGATTAAGCAGCTGACGATGAGAAGCGGTTTGTGAGATGTGTCTATAATGCAAAAGGCATATTAAATATCCACGTAGTATGTCGTGGCACGGTTCAGTCAACAAAAGAGACAGGTCAATTAGTTGGGTATTCCATACGTGAACAATGTTGCCGCCAAACTGTCAATTAATCGCAAGTCTAGGGGTTTGAAGCAAACTTTCGAACCGCCGCTTGCTAAGTTCCTTGGAGGCACAGTGATCTTCCAGGAGAATAACACAGGCAACGCGAAAATGAAATAGGCGAGAAAGAAGCCTATGAAAGAAAATAGAGAAGGATATAGTGGAGCTTTTTCTGGTGCGCTGATAAGGCTCACTCTAAATTGTTTATTCTCTAGACGTCTTTCGCTAATGAGACCGCCATATGCATAGCCAGCCACCTCCAAATACTATCCGACAAGACCAAACCCTAGATACAGCCGGCGAGACCTTGGTCACCTCCACAACACGTTTTCATAGGGTAAGATTGAGGAAGCACTCCAGCCAGATTGTTGGCATAGCACTGTTCGCTTTAGTTATACTTGCACATCACGATTCCGCAGAGAAACTTACGTAAATCAGTCTATCATTGAGTCTCATAGCGGTGTAGCCTAGTTTTGAACAGCAGCTTTTTGTTGTAGCCTCATTGTGACATCTGCAATGATAGGCAGCATCGGCGCTAAAACAAAATTAATACAGGGTTGTCTAAGGCAGCTTGTCAAATTTACCCAATGCTGAGGGTAGCAATAATAGCTAGTAGGCTTGGAATATGCATGTTTGCTAGCGTAAGGATGCTAGTTTATCAGCTGAAGAACAAAAGTAAGATCACTCGAATGGAGATTTGGTGAAGACATAGAACGAGTGTGATTCCGGAGAAGATTTACACGGCATTTATAATCTTCAACTGATGTCGAATCCCTCATAGTGCTGTCATTGTGCTCATTCGGAAAGAATAGTTACCGTAATCAATTAAGCTCCAGAGTGTCCCTTGGCACTCCATCTATTGATTACATCTTCCAACTTGGATATTCTCGCTAGGTTACAGACTTCTGTAACCCCGAGTCAGGAACACTGCTGCTGTTAGAGCAACCGTATCCTCGAGATTGATTGGCTGATAAAAGAGTGTGCGCTGTTTTGATTCGTCAAGCGATTTTCACAGTTAGACGAGTTGCATTAACAGCAGCGCTGCAGAGTAGCGCTTCAAAAAATTACACTTTTGCTAAGCCCTTGGGTCCATACACTGGGCCCACATGTAAAATTATAACCCAACAGCTGCTTTTTCTAACTGGGGCCGCTGTGTTTTTCCACACCTTCTAGAAATGGTAATAAAATCCACCTCTTAGTCATAAGCTCCACTATGTCCCTAATATGCCAATTTGTACATTAGTGTACGGATAAGAATTAGACTCCTACACCCTAAGAGTGCTTGAGTTACTTTACCTTAATATATGGGCTCTTTTAAGTCTTTCTATAATGATGCCTAGAATACCTTCCCTGGCTAAGCCAGAAAAATACGTGGTGGTATCCAAGATTGACGCAGAGCAGATAACGAAGCCGAAATCGGATCCGAAATCGAAACCGAAAGGAGAGGCAAAGTCCATAAAAAAAAAGACAAAAATAAAGGCAGGGCTAAACAAACTTTTCGCTAGACAATTTTCAATATTAAGACCTGTTTCTAGCGAGCAGGCAAAGGCAAAAACACATACACTAAGAAATATCTAGCCTGACCAGCTGACACTCTCCAAACACCCGCATTAGAAGTATCTATTTGCTAGCGTGTAGCCGAAGACCCACGGAAAACCCGATATCCTTGGCTCTCGTCCCGTCCCAACTATTAAACGTTCGTAAGTTCGGATGCTTCGGGCGCTCCGGACGCTCCGAAATTCACTTCTCTGTCTACATCGTGTTTGAGACCAGATTGTTAGGGCCATGCACCACTCTTGATACTCTAGAAATTAGCATAACAGGGATCTCGCTGGTTCTGTAACCAGTAATGATAAGACCTGATGGTGCTAAATAGTGGCATAATAGGTATCGTTAGTGGAGCTCTAAGGAATAGACGTAGTGTTAGGCGATGCAGTCGTCTTAGACTTCTTAACCGATGACTGGGGTCATGGGGACAACCAGGTTCGGCGCCTATTTGGTAATATCGCAGAGAAAAGGTAAATATAAAAGTACCCATATTAACTCTTTTCCTTATTGCATTACTGGAAAATACATGTTAACTTCTTTTTTGACATTTGCCTTCATTCTTCATGTAGGCTTTAGGCAACCGGCCGCCTAAACCGCATCTTCATGTGGTTTAACCTCCAAATCGTTCATCATCGTAAGTTTATTACTGGGCTACAGTCTCTGGCAGAAGACTGTGCGTTGTATGGTGCTCCATGTCCCCCGGTATCATCCAGAGCTCTCATATCCATGAGGCAAACGAGCTCGGTCAGGTCGGACCTAATATTCTGAGACTTCAACAACTATAACGATCTTACAAGTGTGGGTGCTGTTCAAACCACATTCATAGACCTCCCTTGTTCTCGTATTTTGAGAAAATTGCTAGCCATGCGATCCCAATCTTGAAAACTCTCTCAAGAGTCTCCTCTTTAAGGAACTAGAAGGGCTAGCTTTAATAAATAAAAAGTTTTCAGGAAGATCTAACAAACAAAGGGAAATCAGAGCCAGTGTACCCGGAACGGAACCACCGCTTCATCACAGCGCACAAGCTTCATTCAACTGGCGGTGTGCTGAGAGTGAATATCGCCATAGTCGATCCCCCTCTCCTCCCTTGCCATGCCGCCTAAGATGTGGTGAAACGCAGCATATGCTGCTAGGTCACGTTGTATAGTCTGTGACGTCTGCATCTGTGTATGAGTAAAGATAGGCAGCTATGAGTATTTCGGCCTAGCTGTCTTGCATTTTATGCATGATTAACTGGATTCTTAGCCATAAAATCGCTACACTTGGTCTTTGGCAACGACGACAATGCTCGCAACATCATTCGAAGTGTGACATCGATGGCTGGGTTCTCGAACGTTGAGGAAGCGAGTGGAGTTGACATTCGGTCATCTCTTCTGCGCATAGAATTCAACAGAGTCCAGGCTCTCTGATCCACGCTAAGGTTGGATGTGCAAGAGGAGGTGGCGCTTACTTCGGGGGGAATGTAGAGTTATGATGGTGAAGGAGGTTGGGGCGGAGTCTTTGCGGGGATGACAATAGTTTTCAGGTGCCAACGTGTCAGTAGCTCACTTTAATCCGTCACAAACACGAGCGCGAACATGACTAGCTTCACAAAGTGCACATCGAACTTCAAAAAAAAAAAAAAAAAAAGTGGTCTTTCATATTTGCCATGGAGCAGGTCCTTGGCGACCCGTCGAACCCTGCAATGCAACATCTCTTTTGCCGTCTGCCACGAGAGCGATAGTAGGTCCACCCTTTGCTCTGGATGCCACGCCATCTTGACTTCTCCGTTGCATTTTCATCAACGGCGCCTTGGACCTTGACCCAAAAAGCCCTGCCTCTCAAGATGCCGATTTGTTCTGTTTCCTCTGACAACAAACAGCGTACCGACACCACCCTTAAGACGGCGGCCCCTGAGTGACATTGACACCAACATGAACTCTAATCCACATTATGTTCCGACACATTACCAAAGACCTCTTTGAAAGAAAGCGTCTGGAAACGTCCACTACCCCGTCTTGACCAGGACTCTGTGCCGAAGCCATATGCTTGCCGCTGAGGAAGATACTATCGTTACTTTGCTGTCTGAAAGCTGCTAAGGCAGAGCCAGGGTTCGTTGCCATCATAATTCTGTAACCGAAACTGAACTGTCCTCTCCCCTCCCTGGAGTAGATGCTTACGCGTTGATTGACAACAGATACCGCACGCTTCGCTCCGAAAACCATAATACCCATCTTCTCAGTTTGCTGGCCGCGATCACTGATGCTATAACCAAAACCCGACACGAACAATCTAACGCCACCCACCTTACCTATGTAAAACCCTTCCAGATCTGCTCAGGACGCAAGAAGTATCTGAAGTTGGCCTGTTGGGCAAAGGCAAGCCACGCATGCACTCCACATCATCCATCTGGTCCGTTTGCCCACCCATCTAGGTGCCTACGATCAATATATACCAGCTATTTTGGTTTCTCTGGCAAGCTTCAATAGCATTCAAGTAGGCCTACACCTGCTGCATCGGCAGTTATATTCAAGGTACGCAAGTCTCTCATCTTCTCTCGACCGTCTCTTATCAAGGATAGAAGATCACACGGCTTGTGAGTTCACATGTTGGTTAGTGACTGCGACAATAAATTCGACCAACTCAATTATCTTGTCTACATTCTAGAAACTTCCTTAACAAAGTTGCTCGCCCTCAAGACTGTCCTTGCCGACCGCAGGCTTGTAGATCGTCACAGCTGCCGTACCCTACGCATCGCTCGCGTGATTTGAGCAGCGCCTTGTACAGCTGCTATTACCGCCTATTCAGAAGTTGATTTCTGTATAGAATGAAGTTTATGTCGAAGTCGACGGTAATCGGAAGCACAGGCGGTAATTCGCGTAGTCTATCGTCTACTTCAGAGGGTAACTTGTATTGTTCGCTTTTTTGTTTCATTCTAGAAATTTTTGAGGGCAACTTCTTCCTCTCAATAGTCAGTGGAGTTGCGTCACGATACCTTGCCAGGATGTTACGCTGTCTTTACATGTGATTGATTCAATAAAATACCCTGGTACTGCCAGGCAGTTGCCTTCTTTTGGTATTGAACCGTTGAAACTCTTCTTTCAGGGCCAAAACACCAGCTTGAATGGTAGTCATATAATTTTACTACAATCCTTTCAAAGAAATGCGTAACATTTTTAAGCTCTATACCTGGTAAAGGCCGTTATATCACAACAGGATGGCAGGTGTTTTCAAAACTCATTAATCTCTAGAGTATCGGAATCATAGCAGAGTTAGGTAAGGAGTGTTTATTGAATATATAGTTGTCCGCGAGGGCGTTTATCGGTTCAAAAGTCATGACTCCCTTCGGGGCGTAGGGAATGGTCAAATGTTCATCCGTCTTTATTGTGCAGGGATTGATTTCTTCTTCAGATCGTAAACCGAAATCCTGGGATGTTCTCAATAGCGATTCCTTCCTTGTCAGCTTTAATGTTTTCCTTTGTAAAGTAGCAGGCCAGCATGCATGTTACCGCGATATTCAAACCCATGCAGCCGAAGCTCGCGTACATTCCTGGCCGATAGCCCGGATAGTCTTCCTGCCGGAAAACAAGTGACCCGATAATGCCGCCAATACCGCCAAACACTGTTTGAACAGCTACTGCAAATTGCCGCTTCTCGGGCTGGCCAATGTTATTCGATAAAAAGGCCAAAGCCGATGGTATCGCGCAGTTATTGCCAGTGACCGCAAGGAACAGCCCTACCAGACGTGCTCCGGTAGTGTTGCCCCACCCAACGAGCGCAAGACCAATTATCACGAGTGAAGAAAATCCGATGATAAAGGGACTGCGTCTCTTGAATTTATCGGCAAGGATGCCTGAGCCAACTGATACAAACGCAGAGAATATGTACGGCGGTGTAGTTAGTAGCTGGCTAAGCGCAGTGTTGAATCCCAACGAGGACAATATTGACGGGGTGAAGAATGCAAACGAGTAGGATCCAGCAGTGGGTAACATCAGCAAAAAAGCCATGGCGTAAACTTTCCAGTCCGTGACTGCGGCGATGAACCCCCCGTAAGTAGTTTCTAATCCAGAAGTCGCAGAGTCGTCAACACAGTCTTGGGTTAGGCGCGTCCGAACAAGTTCCTGTTCCTCCGAGGAAAGCCACGATGACTTCTCTGGAAAGTTGGCCACGAAATAAAAAATAGGCAAGGCGAGGGCAGCCGTGATAGCTCCGGGAATAATAAAAATCCACCGCCAACCCCGGAGTCCGCCTTGGCCTTCCATCAAACTTAGGGCGTATGAAAAGATCCCGGTGAAGCCAGCGATTACGGATCCGGAAACAAACCAGATGGATAGCCTCGATTGAACTTCATAGCGCTTGTACCAACACGATATGACGAAGATGCATGCAGGCTTATGCACGAATTAGTAACTTACCATGAGGCAAACGGCGGTTGGATACTTTACATTGAAACCACCTTCAAATATTCCTAGCAAGACGCGAAGGGCAACTAGTTGACCATACGTCTGCACAAAGCCGAAACACATAGCAACTACACCCCAGGCAAAGATCATGCCACTCAGGTAGAACCTTGTGCCAAGTTTTCTGATGATCGCATTGGATGGGAGCTCAACCAAGATGTAGGGGATGAAGAAGACCATCAGGGCCACGGAATAGCCGTTATTCGTGGCGATTCCTAGGTCCTGCTCCAGACCAGAGATTTTAGCTGCTGCGATTTTTGTACGGTCTATCAAGGAAAGCCCGTACGTGAGGCACAACCATGGTAAGACGCGTGCGTCGATCTTCCGGATAAGCCTTTTCTCATCCACGCTTGTCGAACTCTCAATTGCATGTTTGATATGGGCTGAACTCGGTCCTGTCGGAGAAATTGAGCTTTCGTCAATTTTGACATCTTGGCTGTTACGCATGATGATAATAGAAAAGTCAACAAAAATAACCAAAAAGCTTGATCTTATATGAGCTGTAGTTGAAAGCAGATATCATAGCTTCTTCCGAGGACGGCAGATAGTCTTAGTGTCGATTTTAATGGGAGCTAATCTGGGGAAATCCGGGGAATCTGGGGAAATATTGGGGTCAACTTCAGTTTTATGGCTCGGCAGTCGGTTGTAAACTGTCCTTACTCATGTCGCAAGCTAGTGGCTCTGCCGGTATTCGCTCGGTTCGGCATCAGATGTTGTGTCAAAAGACTTCGGCAAAATAGAGTAGAACAGTCGAGGCCAATGCCATGCATACAACCTTTCTGCACTCGTCATGTGGGTAAAGCCACAGCTGGTAGGTATGATTATATTAGCATAACGAATTTTTGAATAGAAGAGGGGTAAACGGAGGCTAAAAGCCAATATTACCCAATATCTCGGCCCCGAGGGTTAGCATTAGATACAAGAATACCTTAAGAGGTTTTGAACATCCTTCTGCTGATGAGTTAAGAAACTTGTAGGGAACATGTTGATGATGGATAGGTCTTAGAATAGATCCGAAAACTGAGTATTGACATCTCGGCTACAAAAGCTGAGCTTGCCAGTATTTGAATATCTTGAACAGTGATCCTCATAGTTGGATTTGCTCTGTAGTGTCCTCACAAATGAAAATGCAGGATACCTCGAGAAACTGTGTATTCTTCTACTGTCGAGACTTTCAAATACCTTTCAGTCTTATTGCACAACTGATAACTTGAAAAAGCAAGTTTTTTGTGTTTTATTGCATTGTAATTCGACACCCCTTACACATGATACATCAATTACCGTCTTAAACCAATACATTCTAGTTACCGTGGATTTATTTCTAATATTGAACACCTATAGACTCATTGCTTCAAAGTTCATCAGGGTGATCCAAGTACCAGGTCGAGTCCTCACCACTGTTCTCCTTCGTAGAGAAACCATTTCCCAGATATTGGAATCTATTTTTCGGTTTCAGATACGTGTATTCCCAGTCTTCGCCCCGGAAGGTTTCGAGCATGTGAAAAAAGTGGATTCGGCTGCCTGGGTGAAGAGCAATAACAGGCCCATCAAGAGTTCCATTTTTGAACCAAGAGATGCAGTTTCCGCTCCACGCTGTTCGCGACATAAATGATTGCATGTGCTCAAACAACTCATCAACCGCACTGTGGCTTGGAACGACGGCCTTGATCTTTTCCATCTGGCACTTTTTGATGATTCGTGTTAAGTACTTAGCAATGTGCTCTGTGATAGTAAACACACTCCCATGTCCGATCGGAGCGCTGGGGCCAAGGAAAGCTGATTTCCAGTAGTTAGTCGCGCTTCAGCCATTTGGAGCAGCGTATATGGAGATTGGTTGCTGACTTACTGAAATAGTTTGGAAAGTCGGGAACTGCACAAGACATGTATGACTTCGGCAAATTGTGAGTCCATATGTCCTGTAGGTTTCCGTTGCGGCCAATGATTGGAAATCGTGGACAGAACGACACATCAAAGCCAGTGGCACACACTATGGCGTCCACTTTGATGGTTTCCCCCATTGTTGGCAGAAGACCTTCAGCCGTAATTTCCTTTATGGGGTCTGTTACGACTCTCACATTAGGCTTCTGGAGTGAGTCGAGATAACTAATTGCAGGTGTGAGACGTCGGCAGCCCAGGGGAAATTTCGGAATTATTGCATCGCAAAGGTGTTTGTCTCCATTCAGAGCCTCGCGCATGTATTCCTTAGCTTTTTCCTGTAGGATTGCAGCAAATTCAGTATCCTTGAGTGTCTGTTTTTTTGTTGAGGTAGGATTAGATTTTCATCCTCTGATGCATTTCTCCACGCTGGTTGTGGATTCATGAGTAATGACGAGAACTCACCAAGGGAAAGTTTCCGTTAACGACTTCTTCAACTGCCTTTACAAACTTCCTATAAAAAGCCGGATCTGTCTTGAACCTCTGGACTTGCGCTGGAGTAAAGTCTTGATCTTCATCTATTTCCACCTCCTCTATGATGTTGTCACCCGATCCCTGCACCAGCAATTGCAGGCGGGAGGGTACAACCCACGTTGGGTCACGTACAAAATGTACTATATGCTGAGCTTCTATATCATGTAAAAAAATTTGGTTAACGCTAAACTGTTATTATTCTCGGAGGAGAGACGAAATAACCTTTCTGAAGTTCAGGCAAGATCTGGACACCTGAAGAACCGTTTCCGATTAATGCTAATGTTTTGCCCTTGTAATTGAACGTTTCAGGCCAATTTGCGCTGTGAATGAGTTCACCCTTAAAGCTATGTAATCCGGGTATGGTAGGCCATTTCCAGTTGCTAGCCAATCTTGAATCAGCATGGAGAGTCAATGTATAAAATGGGTAGGGAAGACAGAAAGCGTTACTGACTTTAGAATGCCACAGCTATCAAGGAGAAAGTGCGCATAATCATCAAATACGTCCCCTGATTTTAGGTTCCGTACCTTGACGTTCCATTGCCCTTTGTGTTCGTCCCATTCTGCGCGTTCAATCTGATGCTCAGTCTTGATAACACGATTCATGTTCTCTTCTTCGGCCACTTTAAGCAAGTAAGCCTGAATTTCGGAAGCGGAAGAGAAGAAACCCTTCCATTCGTGATTGGGTCGCCAAGAAAATTGATAGTTATGCGAAGGGACGTCACATTTGCAACCTGGGTATCGATTCTCATACCAGGTCCCGCCGAGCACCGGGTTCTTCTCATAAACTACATGTTCGTAGTCCTTTAGATGCAATCTAAGTGTGCGGATCATGTTCATGCTGCTCATGCCAGCCCCAATCCCCAAGATTCTGAGACGTCGTGTGGTGCCGAGCGGCTCTTCAGAAATTTGATAAGGCGCTGCATTTGTGGAGTCCGAGTTTGGGATTATTGTAGCACCCAAGTGCTCTGCAACTTGATTAAGTCTGGAACGAGCCATGATAGTTTGTGGAAAGGAGATTTGTGTATGTGTAGAAACTGCAACCAGTGTGCTTGAACTTACCTTGAGTGCTTATCGTCTGCTGACGAGAGTATGAAGATCCTTATATGTGATGCTGGTCTTCTTCTACAGTTGCGAACTGATGTGTAGTCATTGAACCCAGTAGGCCGGTGTTCTAAATTTCCCCGTTCGTCAGTGCCATGTGAAATCCTCTAGACGGATTTCGGCAGGTTGTAGCAACCCGATCACCTATGCTGGCAGTCGGCAGTCGGCATTCGGTTTGGATTTGAGTGTTTACCGAGTTCTTTACCGTACTTGAGGTTGTCCGTCGTTGCATTATAAACTCAATGCACATCAAATACGCAGGGACACGATTTAGTGAGATTAGCTTACTTCCGAAAATCCATTATTGCATGTTTCTGCTTCAAAAATTGATTATCAAACCACATTTCCCCACTTCAAGCCCGCTGCATCTTGTAATTACCTCTAACCATGTCTCAACCATCGGAGAAGTTCATTTTAGGCGCCCAAATGTCGCAGCAATTTCTCGGTGAAAAACTGTTCGAAGAGATTCGGCAGCACTCGGTAAGATTCACCGCAGAAGTATCACGTTCTTTTCATTGATCAAGTGGTATCTTCTTTGTTTACGCAGCGAGACGATCTGCCCAGTAATGTCGGCTCCACCTATATCGCCGAAGTTTGCTTCTCGAGCTATGCGCGTCCCGAGTTGACGTTCAGAGACCGCTCTCTGATGAACATTGGGATACTGATTGCTCTTAATCGGCCACCAGAGCTGCGCATCCATATACGGGCCGCGCTACACAATGGGATTTCCAGAGAGCAAATAACAGAAGCTTGCCGGCATGCCATGATCTACTGCGGAGTACCAGCCGGAAGGGACGCGCTAGGGATTGCGAGTGACATATTCAACCAGATGGACAAGGCAGAGAAGATGACTGAGAGTGCAAAGTTGTCGTAAAAACGCAGCTGAATTACTAGCTGTACAAATCCTAATACTTAGGTTATAAATTCATTGCAAGATGCGCGAGAGACGGTTGTATCTACTTTGATTCATCTCTAAATAGCGGAGCGGCCCTGAGATCTATCTTAGAGTCCTTACTTTTGTGTCCAGAGTGTCACTAGCTAACTGCAGGAGTTGTTAATCAAGAGGCTCCTTTATGACTTTTGCATAAGGTATTATGCAGTCGCGTTGTAATCATGAATTGTAGGACATAGTTTCCAAAATGGCATTGTCAATGTTTGCTCATGAAACAAGGCCAGCCTTCCCTTCATTATGCGCAAAACTAATATGCTGTCCTACTCAAAAACTGTACAATTTTGTTTCCCTTCGCTCCGTCTTAATCATTTTGGATACCCTTATGTCCCCAAATTTAGATCCAGCTTGTGTAAAAAGGGGTGATATCATGTTCGGAAGCTGACGGCAAAGTACTATAGATAATTGCCAAAGAGAATCCGCAGAATGTCTGCACCGGGTGTTGTATCTACCTATTATATGGGGTATCCTTATTCGTATTCCACATGGGACCATGTCGGCACATTAGGCTTGACCTGGTTCGAGTTCCAAGTTCAGGCGGTGGGCACAAGTGTGATACGTCAAATTCAGTGGATTTCGGCACACGGCTTAAAACACAGGAACAGTTCAATGCCGAGACCCGAGCGAAACGAGCTTCTCTCCAAGACTGTCTGGTCTCCATCTTCATAAGCAACAACTAGCTGGCGAATCTGATATTTAGTAGTGGCCGTAAATTGGGTGCTTTGTATTACATATTCCGCCAAGCCACGTCTGTTGTGGTGCGGACTACTTGTGACAGCACAACAACCGGAGCTTTATTATCTAGTCGCTGATGACAGAAACTGGCGCATATCTTCATTTTCATGACATAACCTTTCGCCCTCGAAGAAAATCTTGTCATCCACGGAGCCAACACATTAAATGAAAAGTGCCTAGGGACCGGTGTGACAGCGGTACGCCAAGTTTCTCCCGTCACTTTATGAACTCAGAAGATCCGTGCTGGGCGAGAGCCAACCAGGCCCATGCCTAGATTTGATTGAAGCAGCTATTGATGCGGCTACTTATTCTCAAATTTGTTGAAGCGGGTAAAAACAACAGAAACCAAAAAAAGAACCCCCACCCCTGTCCCAGCCGCTACTGTTCGTATGGGTCGCAGTCGATCTGACTTGAATCTGGCATGCTGTCGAAAGCGGACAAATCCATCCCCAAGGTATCCATTAATGGAAAGACAAATTCGGACGACATATCTGCGAAATCGTCGTCCATGCATATGAATTCCCCGGGCCCCAACTGGTTGTTGGAATTGTTCTTCTGACACTTGAGCAGCTCCATGCCGCTGCAAAAGCTTGCAGGGAACGGGAGCAGCTCGTAGACCCGATCAAGAGCGTCCCGCGATGGCTCCTCCATTGTGTCTCCATTGCCGCACCAAGGGCCCTGCTCAGACTCTTTCTCGTTGTTGACTAGACGCTGTAGACGCTGGATTTTATTTAATACGAGATCTGATCCGCCATACCTGTCACGTAAGCGGGTCAATATGGAACAGATTATCGCGATTTCTGCGACACGTTGCGATTCTAATTCGCGATTTTGAGGACGGTAGTAGATCAGGGGAACAGCGGCTATCATGCACATCATGCCATGTATGGGGAGCAGATATGCCGTGTGCTCCCTGCACTCAATCTCCTCATACAGACGGACCATGCACGAGGAGGTAGCGAGGGAAGGGATTGATATCCGCCTCTGGCTCGTAACCGGGTTCAACATCTGAAGCAAAACAACGAGCGAAAAATACATGATCATGAGCTCTAGTGCTGGACGGTAAAATGGCTGCCGAGATCCAGTGGGATCATACAGCTGGAGTTCTTTGGGTAAGGTCTGTACCCAGCCGGCGAGGGCTTCTGAGATGACCGAAATGTCCTCGGCTGGTGCAACTGCCTGTCTCATATGCAGCTGCGCGAGATTTCTCGTGATGCTCTCGAGCCTTTGCATGTAAACGAAGACGGTAGCCTGCAAATTCGGCATTTCGAAATCATTGAGGTTTATTGGCTGGACATTGCACTCACTGAGCGGAAGGGCGGAGGGACGTCCCCAGCAGACAGTGCTCATGTTATCCGCTTGCTGTTGCAATTCTCTCAGTAACATGCGAAACCGTAAGATGGGTGTGGGGTTTACGAACAATAAGATACCAGAATATGCGGCGGCGACAGCCGATCGTTGCGGCGGGGTCGGTGCACGTCGTCGCATCCTTGTGCACACCCATCTGTATCATCGTGCGGATGGCGACGCCGAGCCAGTGCCACGGCCCGTCGAGCGAAACCTGGTCGGTCCGGAGAACGCTGTAGAAGGGTAAAATGCAGAGTGCTTTCAGCAGGGCCAGTTTGTTGGACTCAACGTTGAGGAATATCAGCGTCTTGACCTTTTCGTATAGGGAGATGGTCAGATTGACGCTCTCGCCGTCGTGCCTCATCAGACTCCCTGCAAGGCAAACCGTCTGCTGCAGTAGTAGTGAAGGCTCAGGCCCGGCCAGGTCGGCAGCGTCGATCACGGGGCAAAAGTGGTAGAAGTGTTCGAAGAAGGCATCTACAAGAGCCAGGCGCAGGGCCGGCCGGGGGAGCACATCGGCCTGCGTGACTTTGAGCACGGCCTCGCGGACGGTGGGCCGGGGGTGGAGCAGCTCCTCGCGGCCGATGTTTTCGCGATTGGTGTCGTACGACATGACGACGCTGCGTGAAATAAAAGCATCGGGCCGTGGGGACAGCTCGTCCAGCTTGTACGGTGCATTGTTTTGCACGTTGTCGTTGTCAGCCCGCTTGACCAGAGTTGGCGCGATGGCTACAAAAGACGGCTCCGGCACCCGGGGGGACTGCAGGCCCTGCGGCTTCCGGCGCTTCCGCAGCCGGTCTCGAGGTCTTCTCCCCTTGCGGCTTCAGTACATGTACGAAAGTGAATGGAAAATCTCTCGAGCAGCACAAAGGAACAATCAGAACTAACATGCAGGTTTGGCTTGAGCGACGACAGTTCTTGCAGCCACTGTCTAGACTTTCTTGCAGGTTACATTTTACCTTCCGCCCGTGATTAGCCGATGTCATCCTCCGGACAGTCTCGGGGGGAATTGAAGAATCAGGCTAACCTTTCGTTCGTGGCACGCAACGCACACAAGATTGGAACGCGGTTGGATCGGCCGCTCCATATAAGCTGGCAGCATAGGTAGATTTGCGGGGAATAGAGGTAGATACCGGGCTCTACGCAGTCGTCTGTAGTCCTGGAGACTTAATAGAGGCAGTAAAAAGCCAGCGGGGACCCGGAGCGAATTGATATCCCGAGCCGAGGCTCTGACGACGACGACGCCACAGAGCTTGTAAAGAGTCTCGGGAACTAGCACGCCGTTGAGGGGAAAAGGGCAGCAAAGGAACCGATTGTCACCGGGAAATTTGTTCATCAGTTTACTGTGTCTGTGCTGCATTGAGTAAAAGCGCTTTTTGGTCTCCCAAGCCACGGTGCCTCGCTGGGAAAAGTGGGGCGCTGCGAATGTTCATTGCGGCCTTCAGTAGTTGTGGAATCATCGACGACATTTGACACTCAAAAGCCGAATTTTAATATTAGATGTGCTTTACACTTCGTGCCGAAGGGTTAGAGAGAGCCTAATTGGGTATTCTTGCAAACCAAAGTTCGATAATCATCCGCCTTGTGATCGTTAATAGAACATTTCTGCAATTTATGGGTCTGACCATGACTACCCAGTACCCGCATCATTTGTTCAAACGCAGCGATACTAGCTCTGTGAAAGTCAAATGACATGGTGGTCACATTTCAAAATCAGAGAACACATTCTTCTAAGCGGAAGTTCATGATTGAAAGTGTTCAAACGGTAAAAATGTAGGATAAAAAGAAAAGTAGTAGTTTCTGTACTGTTCAGTTAAGTATTTGTTTTCAACACCTCAGTTGGATGTCTCCAAACCCAACGGAACAGGAAACCAAAAGAAACTACAGGAGTTGTCGCAGAACGCCCCTTGCACTTTAAAAAAGTGGCTGTGACATGGAATTTTCATGTACCACAAACAGATATACCAGAGAGAAAGGGAAAATGCCAGAAAATAGGGTCTCATTATCCAGAAGTCATCTAGGGGAATTTTTCACGACATTCGAACCAGGTTCAGTACCCCCGCTCTCGTGCCGAGGCTCAAGGGGTAGGTTCAATAGCAATGTTTAGCTAGAATCACCGAGACTTTAGGCGAATCGACCACGAATTTTATTTACACCTAGTTGCCATTCGCCTCCATGCTGATCATTCATGGTTAGCCCCAATGTTCCCAAATGCGCTGTCAGCGAGAAACTGCTTTGAGCAGCTCGGACGCGAATTCCTATAAGAGTCACCACCCTGCCGACTACCGACTACCGAAGTGCCGACTACCGAATCCCGACCACAATGAGCATCAACCCCAATCATTATTTTTTTGTGAAATTGAAGAGGTCCACAAGACTACCAGCAGGACTATCGCTACTAATATTGACGAGAGAAACCCCTATGGATTGTACGAACATGATTAGCAATGTCCCCCTTGCTGAGATTAGAAATTGGGGATCAACTCACAGACAATACAAATGAATGACTGAATGATGGGACAATCTTGATACTGATGTATGCATTTAAATGCGGAAAAGAACAGAATTACTCACAAAATAAAAAAGAAGTTTTAAGAATGTACCTCCTACGACAGACATTTTTGGTATTACGAACAGCATCGCCGTATGAAAAAGTGTAGACGTTGTCAATTTGCTATGGAAACAAGCAGCGCATGCATCAGCGTCCTTCGCTTGAATGAACAATCCCAGTGGCAACCATAGCTGTCCATAGGTTTCTCTCCGTGCCTGTCCTTAGAATACGATCCCCAGATTCAAGTGATCCATTGATTGATTGACTTGATCCTATATCACATCATTTCACATTCTTACGGCCCTGGTCGATACAAAGTTCGCTCCTTTAACATCTTCTCTGTGTTTGGGTCGTGACTTGGCAGAACAACGAGATCCACTGTCCTGGCAAACTCCTTGATCTTCTTGATGCTCTGCAAAGCCGTTTTCGGATCGCCCGTGATACCGTCCGGCTCCTCGGCATTCAAGGTGTCAATAGAGTACGTCGCGTCGCCGGTGAGAAAGTAAGTTGTAGGCCCCTTGTGCGGGTCACGTCCGTATACGACCAGAGAGACATGACCTGGCACATGGCCAGGTGTGTCGATCGCAAACACGGTGCGGTCTGACGTGATGGCGTAGGACGCCTCCCACGGGCCAATGGCGTGGGCGGCGGGTTGCAGGATATCCGGCTTGAAGTCCTTGGGCCAGTGCTGCGGTGCGCATCCGCTGGCCGTGGCGAACAGCGGCCGGTTGCCAAAAGCTTTCCAGTGGCTGTCGCTCACGTACACCGGCACGTCGGGATTCTGATCCCTCAGCTCCTTGAGGCCGCCGGCGTGGTCGCCGTGCAGATGGCTCAGCACAATGGCCTGGATGTTGCACGGGTCGATGCCCCGCGCCCAGAGCTGAGCAGTGATGGACTCCTCTGGTCGTATCTCGACCTTGGAGACTCTCTTAGTTGGTGCCCAGAATGGGTGGTACGATGGATCGTTGAAGTGCGTCGACTCCCCAGTGTCAAACAAGATGGGTCCTTGGGGATGCGAGATAACGAACACGCCGATTGGCAGTTTTTCAGACCACTCATTGTCCCTAAAGGATCGCAGCTGCCGCAGAAAAGCCCAGGAATCCCCTACCGGCTGGGACATCATCTGCTTCGGGATCTGCACCGTCCCAGTCGAAATGAATATGATTGCTGGTTCTTCGGCCATATTGTTTGCTCGGCAACACTTCTTTTGACGGTAACGTGGGCCCAAGTTGGTTAACGAAGGATGACACAGGTCTTTTTTCTTTTGAACTCATGTGTCGAATACATATGCTTATTTGTGTGTATCTACTTTTCTCAACTTGAATGTCCTTCTTTAATGTCGAGTGGACAAAGCGCTCGGCTCTTGGCAATGGCGGTTCGGCATTAGTGACTCAAGTTTGCAGCGCGTTTGGCTCTGTGGGTCGATTGGGAACTTCCTGTTAGGTTCGAGTGCCGTCTAAGTGCCGAGGGCACACTCCCCCATGGAGTGATTAATAAATACCAAAAATAGAAGTGGCTGTAGTACGCTGCCATTCAAAGGCTGAGGAGGGCGCGCCCGTCAATGGGAGTCAGGATGCAGCTCGACTGGAACATGAGATGAAGGAATATGTGAACGACCTGGCTGCGCAAGGCGATGGCCCCTCCGAGCGGTCTAAGAGCAGAGCACCATAAACTGCTGGCAATTTCGGGAACTACATCATGTCGGAGCCCGACCTCGACACTCATGTCAACAGCGATTTTAACACTAATATCCTCATCGTCACTATTGTTGAGCCTTTCGTGCCGGTCCTTGTCCTGGCCCCTTCTCGTTGTTATCGATGATGGTCACTATGGGGGAAACTAATGACAACGAGCGGACGAAACGAAAGAAACAAGAGAAAAGAATGTAGAAAATATTTCAGGCCTGACACACGCGTGAAAACTAAGATGCGACAATCGAAATGGAATGGTAAATGAAAACCTTGGTCTGAAGGTTGTGGTTCAAAAAGATTTGCACTTTGGCGACTCTAAGCCCAAATAAGGGAGGGATTGGGCTTGGCTGAGCATGTGCACGTCGAACAATAACTCCAAGTCTGGCTTCACTCCATACACGATTGGTCGAATGGGTCATGAGCACATGGAACTGATTCTAGGGTGGCCAAAATTTCCCTAGCTCCGTTATAGTTACTGTATACTTAGTTGTGTAGCAACTAAGTCTCGTAAGTGACATTGGAATAACTGACTGATACTGATGAGACAGCCTGTCCTGGCGAGATCCTGCCAGCCAACTAGATAAGGTTCGTTTCTAAGCTTTAAGATTATGAACAACCAGCGCATTTTGCAGGCTATCAAATCCATTCCTACTATTTTCGTGACAATACCCAAGTGCTTACCCAAGAACATCAATCTCTTTTTTTATTAACTTTCTACTGGGGAGTGATCTGGTAAGATGTGTGATATAGAGCGATTCTTCAACGCCAGAAGAATCTTACTTGAAAATCATGCACGCTTTGTACATGTCTAACAGGTTCATGTGTATCTTCAAAGCGCGTTTATGAGTTCCCCATAGGCTGACGAAGGTAGGCTCTCAAAGGAGGAAGCTTCAGCCACCGGTGAAACAGCTTCTGTGGGGTGACTGTTCTTGATATGCCTCAACAAGTTATCGCTACGATTGCCCTTAAACACAGCTGAGCAGATGGTACACGTAAGAATCAACTTTTCGTGGACTGATCTCTGATGTCGCTCAAGATCTCTGCGTGTGCTGAAACGACGATTGCAGCCCGCCGAGGTGCAGCAGTGAGGCCGTAGGTGACAGCGCAAATGGTCCCTTTTGACAGTTAATCTCCGCGTATCGACAATCTGCTGGCATAACTAACCTCAAGCTATCAACGTCACCGGAGAAACTCCCGCAGACAGGGCATGTGTGAGACTCCAAAGTCAGCAAGCAACTGGCTCTAAGTGCCTTGGACTTTGCTGCTATTCGAGAAATTCTAGAACGGCCTCTGCTCCCTGGCTTGCGCTCAGTTGACTTTTGGTTATGTTGAGGAGGATAGATGATGCCACCAGACTCCCCCGTGGTACCTGCGATGGAACCAGAGGGTAAACTTTTGCCGCCGAAAAACTCTGGAAAGGGTTCAAGGGTAGCAGAATTCAAATCAGCCCACCATGAATGTGTGGGATGCAGAACTGACTGGTTTTCAGTACCTAAAAGGCGGTCTTCTACACAGTCATTGAACGGGTAAAGCAAGCTGATAGTAAGCTGATCTCGCCAAGTGTCGATATAGATTGTGAGATTTGCTGGAAGCACTCATCGTTGACACTATCATGCACATCTAGGGCAGTCGCTTTTTCAAACGTTTCATGAGACACTGTGTCAGTGTCTTGGGAATATTGAGCACCATTCAATGAGCTGTTACGATTGTTAGGCACCTAGAACAGAGTTAGATTATTGGAAAGCACGGGCTTGTCATCATCACCAACCGCGTCGACAGCGCGGGAAAGAGAGTTGGAATCTCTGATCGAACTTCCAATTGCATGGAAGTCTCCCGGAAGCAGATACCCGAAGCTGTGATGCCCTGGAGGTTCTAGGGATGCTCTCAACGCCACAGGATCATGATGTCCAATGACCTGGCGGCAGTGATCGAAACCTAACTGCCATTGTGTAGCGCAATGACCAAGACCGACGGGATTATCTACGGATACAGCACTAGGGTTATTAAAGTTCTTGATCAAACTCGAGCGTTTTCTCTCATGTCGCGGATCGTATGATAGATGGAAATCTTCGGACACTGGTTGGGAATGGAAAGATTGCTCCCGAGTCGTATCGAAGTCTCTGGCAATGCAAATGACAAATTAAAACCGATCCATGATTTTCGATGTCCAATTAAGAGGTTAGGGTAACTTAGGGTTAGGGTTAGGGTTAGGGTTAGGGTTAGGGTTAGGGTTAGGGTTAGGGTTAGGGTTAGGGTTAGGGTTAGGGTTAGGGTTAGG